ATAACTCAATTAATTTAATGCAACAGCATGCATCTCTTCCTGTTGCCGACGAACGCCAGCGCCATTCGCAGCTAAGCGCGCGCAACAAAAATAAACGTAATTAACTTCAACAAATTGCGCTGCACCGTCGGCAATAAAAAATAATTAAAAGTAATTAGTTTCGTTTGCACACAGCGCTATATGTCTATATATCTACGAGCACACACAAGCGTCGTCATATAGCATCATTTAACAATTCTTCCATCCAACTTGCAGTGAACTTGGAGTGAGTTACATTTTGAACGATTCCAAGAAATTATTAACATGGAATTGGAATAAAAAGGTGCAGAACGTCGTTTATTTTAAATACCTAAATAACGTAATTGTTTATTATGTTGCGCTGCTTTGTTATAGTTATTATTATTTCATTATTAATAATAGCTGTAATAACATTGCGTAATTCTAATATATTTACTGCTTCATTGTAATTAAAATGTTGCTGGCGATAAGGACGCATGAATATTTTGTTATTTTGTTACATTTTAGCTGAGGGTATGCGGAAATCCTTTCGGAATGTTTTTGATAGCAAAAATGTAGGTTACTAAACCGACGGGTCCTTCAAATAGACAACAAGCGGGTTGTAATTATAGATTCACGCAAAAAAATACTTCAAACTAATGCATAATTTATAAACCCTGAAGGGTTCATAGTCATCTTCATCTTCATCTTAAATTTCTTAGGTGCAGACTAAATTTGTCGTTTTTTTTTCCTTGTGTCTATCTTGTGATTATGTTATGAATTCGAGCCAAACACGAGATTCTGTAATTATCTTCGTCGGAAGAAAGACACAAAACTTTTTCTTCTTTTGATCGAAAGGTAGATTTTCCGTCTGTTTACAATGATCAGCAGTGGGTTGAAGAAAAAAAGGAGAGAAAAACAACAAACAAATAACGCGAGCGGCGACAGCAATTTAATTCGAACCGCAGACACAAAAAATCGTGTAATGACACACGTCTTGTTACACGGATTAGCGTAGGTCAAGAATGCTCTTCACAAATCGTATTATATACGTATTAGCGCATGAGCTCTAATGGCGGCACTTCTTCACGTGCATGAAATTCGTTTCATCGCGTGAAATAAACAACGATTGTTAATGAATAATGTACACTCGCTAACGACGCATCATTTCGGATTTATAAGCGTCGATTTTTGTACGGACACGAACACACACCGTAATCATCAAAATGTTTTCATTTTGTTTATTAGTTGTATTACGTTACGACGAAACGCAACGTGGAACGATGACATAAAAGGTGAAAAAACTCACCATTACGCTTATGGGTTTGTGTTGTGCATGAGATTATTATAAAATGCAATCTAAAAGCTCATCGCCGCTTTAATTTTAACCACTTTAACGCGTCTCTTGTTTTTGTTCTTGTGGAGCGAATATATAAATATAAATATCACGATAGTTCTATCTAAATTAGGATCGAACGCTTCGGCTCCACGACCGTGGCAAAGGTGCGTTAAAGATTAAACGTTTAATGCATAATAGTTTTCAGTTATCGCTTTGGCTTCTACTTCTTCTTCTGTTGAGTACCTAAACGTTTAAGCGTGGAGGAGACGTAAGTTAAAGCTATTGATGTAAATTTGGTTGCCTACTTTGCAAATTAAGGTCTACTGTCAAACTAATGAGATATTTTCTGTTTTCTTTTTGAGCATCACAATAATATTCATTTTTAATAATTTATATTAAGTTTAACATAATTTTAAGTCCCCTTAGGACTTTATTATAACAACCACATTAAAATAATAGAATTTTGTATAAAATAAAATCATCGATTATGTTTGCGTCCTTTATCGACAGTGTAGAAGGCCAATCAAGAGTTAATATTGTTGCTCACAGTTTTTGTCTTGCAATGGTGCACACCGCGCGTATTATCATGTTCCGTGGCCCCTAAAGTTTAAGTTTAAGCTGGGTGCCTCAACTCTCAATTCTCAAACCGAAGGCGATTAAGTTTTATATCACGTAGTCGTCGAAGCGCGCACGCGGTTCTCTCGAGATTCGTTTTTTTCGTCTTTATCGATCATCTTTTCGATTATTATCGATAATTAGCTCCACCTTGAACTTGAGTTTTGATTAGAAAACGTGCCCGGCGCACAGTCCCATTCGAAAATCGATTTTTATATTTTCGTAATGACCAAATTTTCCTTCCACGAAACGAGATAATCGAAAATTCAAATCAGTCGTCGTAAAATTTAATTTCATACAGGTAACCAACAGCAACCAGCAACAACACTTTTAACTGAATTTTGTCAACTGTGACTTTTTCACTACAAATTACCAAACAAATTCACTGATGTTCATGTCAGTTCCGCCGTGTGAAATTAAAAAGCTATTACATTTTAATCACGTCAATCTGTTTATGCGATGAGATGAGCGCGACGATTCATTTTATTATTTCACCATCAATAAAACGTGCATAACACGCGTTGACATCGCGTCCGTCGCGCATAAATTAAAGCCGTCATCGAGTGCAAGCCACCGAATCCTTGATGAATCCCCACTGTGGTCTCCTTCATAGATTCGGCGGTGTCACACGCACTGGTTGTGCGTGTTGTGTGTCATCTCTTTGCGGCGTCAGAATGCAGATGATGCACGAGCGCGCAATGTGCGGTCGACACACTGATACATCATCTCATTAGGTCAATAAATATGATCGAGGGGATGCGGACGAGTGTTTGAGTGTGTGCGCCCGACCGAGGCATTATTCTCTTCGGGATTAATGCGTTGCGGTAGCAGGATCTCCTGCTGGGCGCCACAACCCCGCGGAATACCTCGATATAAACCACTGGATGACGGTGCGGAAAGTGTTAGCTCGTGCTGGGAGTCAGGCAGTATAAAAGCACAAAAGAAAGATAAATACTTATAAATTATTGTGTTGATGGTAGAACAAATAATGGAAATCGAATAAATGATAAATAACACACAATAATATTGATGTAATGTGTGTTCAACTTATTTTCATGCAGTATTGTTTAATAGATATTTAGTAAAATAAATACATAAAAATAAAATATATTGCATAAATGTTTGAAAACAATTTACTGCTCATGCGCACTGTGCCCTAACCTAACATAACCTAACCTTTTTTTAATAAATTCAAACAAAAACCAGTTTTCAAACAAATTTTCTTAATACAAACGCAATTAAATCGTTTTTTCTATGCCTATTTTGTTTATCAATCCAACACGCATCTGTGTTGTATATTCGGAAGTTTTTTTCATGCTGGAACAAAACGATATTCGTGTAGACGTGTCACGTTCGTGTTGACGAACCGTCATCGTGCATTTTTTCTCTAATTATGATTAATTTATACGTTAAACTATCCGAAGAAACGCCGGCGCTATCATTTATAAATAATTGAATTGTTATGTCTTTATATTGTTCATAATGACATGTATTTAATCCGCACGGCGTGCAGCGTGCACGAAATACAAGATTCAACGTCAGATTCGATGGAATATAAACGAATAGTCAAATTTTACAAGAAGGTACGGATATTTAATTAAACATCTGGAAAACGTACGAGCACACAGCGCACAAACAACAATACAAAAAAAAGGTTAAATCATTAAAATCAAGCACATTATAATAATTTGTGTATTTCAATATAAAGCTAGTACGTGCGTGCCGAAACGAAAACAATAATTAAATAAGACTACGAGACATTAGCGGGAAAGAAGCAAGACTGTGATGGCCAATCTTTCACATTTGTACCTACACTTTAATGAGAATGTAATTATTGCTTTATTGCTTTGTGCATATGCAAAATAAAAGATGATGATTACAGTCTTCTTGCTCAGATTTCGAGCTTCCAGCATATGGTAAATAGATTTAAATGTTTGTTGCAAAGATAGCAAACAAATTGAATGAAGACGAAGAAAAAAACGCGCAGCTTTTCTCGGCTTGTTGGCGTCTTAAAAGTTCTGCCAACTCATTACATGCTAAGCACATTTATTGTGCGCATAATGAATTTATGGCGCGCCGCTTATTCAAATTAATTTCGGGGCATGAATTTTGTTTTCGGCGCCGCTCGGCGTACAATTTGCATTTCACACATTGCACCGCAGTCAAGTGAGGAAGATTCACGACAAATGCGATACAATCATAAAACCATAGTGTTGAGTTAGAGTTTTGTACGTGGAGATTATAAATGCTTTATTTTTTTAACCTCAAAGTCAGGTATAATATATTTTTAAGGTTGAAATTATGTCTGGAATTATTTTTTATTTAAAACTATTTGCAAGTCATCCAGCTGTTGTCTATGGCTATCGTTTTGTATACTTATTACAATATATACTTATGTTTGAATGAATTTGTTAGGTTATAAAGCGTTTCATTATTTTTTCCTTCGTGTGTTGATTGCTGCGCATCATTACTATCATAACACATTAAGTGTGATTCAATCAAAGCTAATTAAATTTGTTCCTGTGTGAATAAATTACCTACGTAAACTATGTGTACGCAAACCGTTTTAATTGTGGCCGTAATGTGTGAAGGTTTTGGTTGTTAAAACAATTTTGACTCGTTTTTGTTCCGTCGGCAAACAGTTTCAAACTAATTAACTGCTTTATTATTGTGATAGTAATTTTAAAATCGGTGTAACTTGTGTAAATGTTGATTTAACGTACTTTTTAGACATTAACAGTGACAAATTGAAAAGAAAAAAGGTTTAAAGTTTTGAACAAACAAAAGTTATACGGAAAATTAGATTTCGCCATTGTGGTGCACATAATAGCTTCATCATATCATAGTTGAAGATGAAAGGACCCAAGGAGCGAGCCTAAACGGACCGCAGCGCAGATACAATCATTAATAACGAAAATCTTCTCGTCTCTCGCCGCGCTCGGACGTTTACTAATGGGCGTCAAAAAGCCGCACCGCGTTGATTAATTTTTTTCCATCTTTGGGTTGTGTTTGAGTGTAAAATATCTTGTGGTGCATAAAATTCGCTTACGGCTAAGAGTTCCGGGGACGTGTGCCCCTTTTCTCTGTCACTTCTCTCCTCCAGCGTGGTTCCTGGATGCGCACAAAAAACACACTTTAATTAGATTGAAATGGATGTGTTTTTCAGTTCGATATCGCTCGCCGGGCGCACACAAAACTCAAAGCGGTGTAAAGTACAGTTTCCGTCGGAACAAGCGCTGTGGTCCGTCGGCCAGGTCAAAATTTTTGGGAAATTCGGCTTCAACCGCGCACTCGATGCACTCACGGGCCGTCGCCGTCCATCAGGTGGTTCGCTCGTCGACGCATTCGACGATTTTACAAACAATAGACGACACAATACATCAATGCATTCATATGAATTGATTCGTACTGACTTTAATTCATCATAGCGCCACCTTTGCGGCCCCCTCTCACAACCCCACCGCGTACGTGAATATAAATATCACACTATAATTTGCGTTTTTTCTGTTTCGTTTTCTTCGGATGCCCTCCTCCCTCAGGACGGCCATGCATTCATAAAGACCGCCCAGATAATAATACCCTTAATTACGGCTCGTTGCGTGGCCTCTGTCGACCGCGCGTGGAAATGCGCTCGCCGGTCGTCGACGACAGATGGAAATACCTACCAGAGTCTTAGTATTCTACCAAACCAACTTGGAAATTCTACAATGAAAATTCTACATAAATTCAAAGAAGTAAATATCTCAAAATGGAAACGTATTTATTTCACTTATTATCATCTAACAATTTGCGTTTTAAAAATACTATTACTTAGAATGTACAAAAATATTTACAAACATGTATAAATCTTATTTTACTTTGTATTTACAAAATCTCCTGAAGTTGCATTAGCAATGGCACTGGTCCCTTAAATTATTGCATTTTTCGGGAATGGAATATAACACTTTTTGCTTTCGCACACGCCGCCGCGGCACAGTCGTTAAGCTGACGGCGTTAAAGTTTTTTCCTTCTCTTCTTCACGACGTTAGCGTTTTTGTTCGCGCTCACATGTTATCACTTCTGCAATCATTGTTCGGGCATGTTGTAATAGAAACCACCGTAGCCGCTATAAAGCGAGTTTATGACCGTTTGCGGCGGATTGGAAGCCAAATGGCTGGCGTGATTTACGATTTGTGGTGGCGCCTGTGGCGTCGTCATCGTGGGTAGCAGAATGGGTTTCTGATCAACTATTTCGGTTTTCACCACGGGCGTCGTCTTCGCCGATTTTTTCTCCGACTTGCCGTTCTTGTGCGTTTTCACGTGTTTGGCAAGATGGTCAGAGCGCATAAATCTCTTGCTGCACACCGGACACGCAAAACGTTTCTCACCCGTGTGTGTACGAAGATGTCGTTGGAGTTCATCCGAACGGGTGAAACGTTTCCCGCAGAAGAGCCAGTTGCACACGTAGGGGCGCTCACCAGTGTGCCATCGAAGATGCGCTTGAAGATGCGAGGTTTTGCCGTACACTTTATCACAACCGGGGTAATGACAGACGTGAGTTTTCTTTGCCGACGGCTTTCTGGTACCGTTTTCTTCACCGATACAATTCGGACACTGACACTTTATACACCGACGGCCTTTGACGAAACTTGTAGGGAATTCAGAGACTGACATCTCTGGTTTAATGATGGTTTGATAAGGAAAACTCATGTAACTACTCTGTGGGTGCCACTGCGCAGACATTCCGGTGTGGTATTGCGCGGACACTTGGTGATGATGATGGTGTTGAATATTTGCGGGTGTCTGAGGTTGAAAACCACTGGTGGCGGTATCCGCCGGTGGAGGTGAGTGTTGAAACCAATACTGATTGCCGTAACCATAATGGCTTTGATAATGCGGTGAATATTCCAAAGGAGAACGCGAAGTTTCCAGAGGCACTTGAGAAACATATCCATCACTGCTGCAGGAGGTCGTCGAAGCTGGTGAGACTTGTGGATGTGCATAAGGTTGATGCTGGTACACCCTGGTACAAGAAGCCGCTAGTAAATTCAACGGACTCATCTGAAAACATCAAAATAAATATTTAATTCACACTCGATGGTTGTTAGCGAACGCAAACGGTGGCAGTAATTGCAGTGGATTTAAAGAAAACATTAATAAAATCGTAATATTTAATGAGAGGGTGTCGAAGAAGATGATTACTGTTATTAAAGATCACGCACCTGCGATTGCGCATTGCCGTACTGGTGATGTAGCTGTGGAGAGGCCATCATTGCGGACACTTAAGCGGTGAACTAATAACTGAGTTTCTATGAGCCCGAAGATGACGATCACTGTGTTTAGGGGCCGGTCTGCGCACGATATCTGCGCGACAAGTGACCCGAGAGTATGCCCTAAGGGCTCTATAGGGTCGGCGCGGGGTCGGGGTATGGATGCTTTCGTCTCGCTTCATCGACTGCGCCTCTTTTTTCAACACGCGCGCGTGCACACCCCAGCGCTCTAAGAAAATCTCTTCGGATGGGCGCTAGACCAAGAGACGCAGCGCTACATCCCTACCACTCTTCTCAGGTTCTCTCACTCTGGCATCTCACTCGTGGGGAAGAGCGAATGGCTTCGAGGCTAAAGCTCCCACACCGAAAAAATCACTAACATATACGACTCACATGCTTCTCAAAGTTTTTAATTTAGTAAATTCACTAAATGATTGCTAAATTTATCTGAAAATTTTATTAAGAGGCTATTTCTGAGAATGGTCTTTATTTGCGGGTTTGAAATGATGGTCTGTGACAGTAGCAAAAGTCAATTAAAGCGTGGAAGCGAAAAAATGTGACGCTTTGACCCGCAATTGTGAGGTAGCTGGTTGCTGGTTGGGTGGTATGATGGTATAAAAGAATCATAAACGCTTCATAATCACCCAAACAAAACCCAACCATTTACAATGATCTACAAGTTAAATACATACAATAACCAAAGGTTATTTTATTACCCCAGAAAGTTTATGGTGTACACTGTTAATTTCTCAATAATTTTAACTTTTCACTCATTACAGGTGTTTGACAAATGTTGAAGATGTGTATCTAGCTGGGGAATTCTGCAAGTGATGCAATTTTTGGACATTTTTACAGTTCGGCGACTCCGTCTTTATGCTCACCATGTGCCGTTGTGTGCTTTGGATGTTTGGCAAGTTTCACGCCTATCCAAGCCACAATAGTGGTGCGCGGTGCCATGAGCCCTGGATCTTCTCGTCCCGTGTGTGTGCACGACTGAATGTGCGGCATTGTCCGGTGGCGGTCGTCATCAGCCCCGCGGGCCATGATTTATGACCACGGTCAGCGCACTTTTGATTTACAACTTTTCGAATCTGCCTCGGCGGAGAGTGGAGAGATGATGTTGCGCTTTTGATGACTCTCGCCCGGTTCTCTTCGTCTGCTCCCGTGCACAACCCTCGGCGATGCTTGCATCTTTTTCCGAAAACAAAGACTCGTTATAGATATGGACGCCTTTTTTCGCTCTTTGCCTCGTTTGCGGCGGCACACAAAACGAGTTTTAATTGTCGGCCCGCGCGAGTTGAGAGAATTTTCAAAAGGTACGAAAATCAAATATGATTTATCTTGTGACTCGTGGCTTAAGCTACAACAACGGCAAACAACAAAAACAACCCCTTGTAAATTTACTACTTAAATGCGATAAGCGTTTGGGCTGTGCCGCTGCTTTGTGTGTTTGTTGTCTGTATAATCTCTTTTGCAAAGCCGTCATCGCATATATTTACTTTGATTTTCAATTTTTTTCACTATGGGAAAACACATGTTCTCACATTTAACTAACTTCTTTCATTTATTAATTTATCCCATTGTTTAAAACCAGAATTTGACTATTTTGACACATTTAAAGTTGTTACAAAAATATCTCTGTAATGTTATGTTGATCCTCACCTATAACTTTTTAATCTCCTTTAGTCACAATAAACTACCGAGCGTCAAAGAGTCGGCTGGTTTTGGGAATTTTCGCAAAGTCGACAAGCAAACAATCCGTACACAAGTTTCGATGTAATCTGTTGCATATCCAATTATTCAATGCGCCCATTGATATCGCCGGGCTATTACATTGAAAATCCGTTTAGCCGGGTTGTAAATTACAAGATTTCGGTAATTTTCCCTCAAAAATTGTATTCACAGCGGTCAATTTAAAAGTGTTAATCTTCGGTAGCCGCAACATTATTAAAAGGATTTTCTGGCGCTCTACGTGCGTCGGCAAAGTTATCAATTTTGTGGAAAAGTAGTATGTACTTGGATTAACTTGTAAACCAATAATTGTCAGTAATGCTTCTCATTTCTAGAATCTACCATTATTAAAGTTAATTCATGAACGAACTATTTTAATTCATAGTTTTTTATTGAATTGACAAGTTTAGTCTTCGGCGCATGCGCGCGTTTATTTTATAAATTCAGGTGCATTTTGTAGATATTTTGCGATAAACTCTCGTTTAATCGCTTGTTACTTAATCGATTTATTTGAACAAATAAAAGAAGGCTATGCTCGGAGGCTTATTTCAAAGAAATATCGAGTGTCAAGTGCGTTCCCAAGCTCGCACAAAGCAAACTTTTTTTTAGTTAAAGTAGGTATAAAAGTTACAAATTTCAATGGGTGAATGGATCCTCCAGTTTGTCATGCTTGTTGTATTTGCGCCCTACACCTGATTTAGCAGCTTAGAATCTATTTGCAGGTCTTGTACGAAAGAATACTAAACTTCTGAATCAGCTCAAAACTGAAACTTTTATTTGCTCATTTCAAGATCCAGTTTCAATGAGAAAAAACTGGAACATAAATGAAAGATGATAGTTTGTTCATTTTTTGCGTAACCCTAAGAAAACTTGTTAATAGCTGCTATGATAAACCATTTAATAGAGTGCAACACTTTTATATCAGACAAAACGAAACCGGAAAGGATCAAAATTTTAAGTACGAAGTGAAAACAAAAAAGGATTTGTTCAGGCAACTCATCCATAAAAAGGTTCATGTAGTTCTTGTATAAAAGAAGGCTAAGTAGAGGATTTTTACGGGTCTAACACTTCGACACAATGCTCATCATGACAATATGTGTCTTCTCCGCGGGAGAGCCATTTAACAAGCGGCAAGAACGGTTTTGAACTCAACTTAAACCAACATTAGTAGTCTATGGCCATGGTATAGTCTATAGTGGTATGGTTGTGGCTTGTTTTATATTTTTTTTCGTTTCTTGCTTCTTTCCTCGCTCGTCTTCCTTATCTTTCCGCATTTGTAATGGAAAATGTTAATGTGTAAATGTGCACATTCATGTTTGGGACCCGAGCCACTCACAGGTCGTAAAATCTCGTGCTATCCTTATTGACCGAGATGGTAATTAGTAATGTGATAGTATCTTCGAAAGCAAAGTCACTCAGCTTCTAACAAGATGCGAGGAGCGGCACCAGAAAACAACAAGAATTGATGTGCGCTCCTTTTGTTCCAAATGATTGAAGAACATAATATATTTCGGCATCGGACAAAGTCCGGACGTCCACTCAAACGGTCATAATGACCGACCCGAAGATGTTACCCCCTGTCGATATATTAGACCGACAAAAGGCAAGTGTCGAGCCGGGACCATATTTTTAAATATTGGTTTACATTTGTTCTCCACAGAAATGGTACATGAATCGTTTTCATGTTTAGTTGGTAAGTATTTTATGAGCGGCAAGTGTTTAAAAGTCATAAAGATTTTAAATATAATAGTTTCATTCAAAAGACATAAGAATTTATAAATTCATCATTGCACAAATATATTACACAGGTATGAAATATTTGGAAATGTACGAACCTGAAACACGTGATTTTAAATTAGATAGGACAAAAAATCTGCTAAACAATTCATAACAAACCTAATGTATACAAACAAATATTTAATGCAAACAAGTGCCTTCTGATGCTATCTTGAGCCAAAGAATAAAGTAATGTTTGAGCTCAGGGTTTAAGTCTAACAAATCCAGTCGAACATATTCACGCACCGAAGCTATATTATTGCAAATAAATGCATTGTAGTGCCATCTAGTCTCAAGTAACATAACTATAATTGAGTGTTTATGATAACTTTCAATGCTTTTCCACGCTTTCAAGTTTTATTTCGGAATAATTTCGTGTTTCGGAAATAAAAAGTAGTCAATGCTCTTCTGCAATATCTCAACAATCTTAAAACCAAAATTCATAAAAATTGGCTTAGTGTTTTAGGCTTGAAAAGAGAAAATTTATTCCTCAGTTCGCTCAACCCCACCAACCTTATTTATCTTTCTGCTCGTCAGCTGTTTAGCTGTCTCCATATCTCATTGAAAGAGACTCAACTATACTTACAAACGTGAAACAAAATCTGTTTAATTTGTACATTGAATTCCTGTGTGAGTTAACTATACAGAATTAAAACAAGTGATTACATAAGGCAGAAAAATGGCTCATGGACAATATTTAGAAGAAATGATCAAGGAATATCTCTTGTTTCGAGGGTTTGGTAACACTGTTAAAGTATTTGATGCAGAATTAAAAACAGATAAAGAAAAAGGATTTCGTGTTGATAAAATCATAGAGCAACTGTTACACTTTATAAACACTTATGATCTCACATCATTGAGAGAACTATGGATGCACTTTGATAGTCATCTGTTTTCAAAACTAGAGAGTCAATTTGTTCCAGGCATCAAGAAGATAGAAAATGCTGTGCTTAAAATGTATCTGATAAATACAGTTGTCACTAACAAACCTGAAAAAATGAACGAATTCTTTGTTAAATTAACTCCTGAGCTACAAGGACAAAGTGAATGGAAGGACTGGTTCAGTAAGTATAATTTATTCATTTCATGTTTTTAAAGTTTTAATCAGTTAACACTTTGTTGGAATTGGTTTATTGAAAAATAATAAGACTAGTATATAGTTGGTAGTTGGAAATAAATTCTATTTGTTTATCTTTGATAACATTTTGTTGTATTTAATAAATATAGACTATATTCTCTGAATTAAATTGATTTAAAAAATCTTTGTCTTTCAGTGTTACCATACATTAAAAATCCAGAAGAAAATGCTTTCTTCCAAATATACTTCTCAAAACAATGGCAGGATACATGTTTGGTATCCTTGCACAATTTTCTGGCTTCAATATTTCAGGTAACAATTGTTATCACATATTACTTTTTGATTACTAATATTAATGTTTTAATAATATTGCACCCTGTGCTCAGTTCATGCCGATGCCGAAACTACTACAATACGAAGAAGACGCGAACAAAATAAGACTCTTAGAGGAAAAGAATGAACATCTAACGAAACAAATCAATCTGCTGATTGAAAAGAATCCGGACAACACAATCAGTCCTTGTCTTGTGGAGCCACCGCCACATTTGCTCGACGATTTCTACATTATAGCACAGGAAAGCGCAGTAAATGAGAATCAAACGAAGAGCTTCAAGAATTTAATTCGTAACATGAGCAGTGGCTCCAGCCCGATTTTAGGGCGCAAGGATAACTACAACCGGAGCAAGAAACTGAGTTCGAGTATGAGCAGCAAAAGTGTCAAGTCCGGACAAAGCTTCTTTTACGATTCGTAGATGTGTGTTATTCCATGTGATAATTTAGATTTTTTAAAGTACAAAACATGATATTCTGATGGGTTCGACTAAAGGTCAATTTTTGTCAGAAGCTTCGGCCTGATTTTCGTTTAGTTTGTAAATGTTTCGATTACAACTTCTCTATTGCACAATTACTTGTAAATCAGGTTGGTTGCTTCGGTTGGACCCAAAACTCAATGTTTTAAATCGAAAATTTCGAGCAAGAGCGGTTCCACATCCGATGGATTCACGTCCAAATAGCAGTTGATCACTTCTTCGTTCATTTTGTGTAATTCGGAGATTTTTTGAATCAACTTTAGGAAAGTAGATTTCGCTTCGCACCCGGGATACACGCTTTCCAGATATCGACGTAAAAGGTAATAATACGAGTTCTACAAAGAAATTTTTAATATAAAAGTATATGTACACAATGTTTCTTAAGTAATTTACCTGTTCTAACTTAATAACGTCTTGATGAACCACACGCGCTCGATCGGGTGTGAACAATGTGATAGCACATAGTATTAATATAATATTTTCGTCGTTGCGCCATTTCTGGTCGAACGTCGTTATGAATCTCTCGTGCTCTTGATAAATGTTACCTTTGGCCTGCTTCAATACGTCCGCCTTCAAGTTTCCCAGATATTCTTTGGTATGCGGTATCTTAAAGTTAATCAACGTTAATAAAACGATCAATTACTGTAAGTGGAACAGTTAATATTACCTTCCACGTTTGCTTACTGGAATCGTAGTTCATGACGCTTCTCAGAATCATCATTTCTGTACAGCCTCCCTTTAGCAATGCGACTTGATCCTCTTGGCACATATTTTTAAAAGCGTTGATTTTTTTCGCCATTTTTATTAGGCGCCTTATTGCAACTGCGGTTAAGTTGATTACGTCCAGAAGTGCTGGGTCAGCTAATAAACTGTTGTGAACATTCACCTAAAACCAATTTTTGTATGCCAAATAGAACATATGTAAATTAAACATTGCTTACCTTCCTGCAATCTTCAGCAATCCAATTTGTGGCATCTTCATCAACAGGTGTAGACAACGTCTTGTTAGCAACAATCAACTCATTCAGTTTAGCCCTTTCTGCATCATTCAGTTCTCTTGAAGGTCCTCTACTATGTGCCATTGATGAATAAGCGTCAAATTCCAGTTTAATTGCTTCACAAAGTATTGACTCAATTGCATTAGCTTCACTTCTGTTTCTAAAACAATATTCATGTTACCAATACTACTCAGCAATACTTATGATGATAAAAAAAAACTTACTGTTGTTGATGTTGTTGAACATCTTGCAAAACATCTCTGGCAACATCTATATCAGTATACACAACTTCCACCCTCTCCTGAGTTGTACTCACAGGACTAGGTGAATTGTGATTGCAGTTCAAATGATTATTATTCGTAATCAAGGAATGTAAGAGTGGATTCATGCCAGATCCATCAAGTTTTTGTACACTCTCAGGTGAGACTTGTAAACTTGAGCTTGTTGTACTCTCTGGTGACATTGAAGAGTTACTATAGTCATCACTGTGATTGTCATAATACTTAGGCTTCTTTACTTTCTTAAATCCTTTCTTGAATCCAAAGCCATTAGCCCTCTTCAATGCCTTGTTCTCTTCAATCTTCTTCTTTTTAATTTCTTTGTCCTGGTCTGTCATAATCATATCCTTTTTCATGCCTATGGCAAAACACTTGTCCAATCGACATCTTTGGCAGAATCGTCTCGTAACTGTATTGATATCACACCTTCCCTCAAAGGGACACTTAAATACTTTGTTTGTAAGCGCATTTCGACGAAAGAATGCTTTACAGCTTTCACAGGTTACAGCATTAAAATTGTAGTTTAGGGCTTTGTCACTACACACACCACATACTTTCTGGTCCATTTTTAGTTAATAACTTATGTGGAAGTGCCTCCTTATCAGGTTCTCGACAGTTCAACATTTATTAGATAAAAAGTTAACATACTGTTTGTTGAGCTCTCACACTCACGACACTATAATCCGCATACTCACTTGGTTGAAAATTGTGTTCAACACTTTGTTTAATTGTGAAGATTGCAATTGTGATGGATTGCAAAGGAGTATATAGATTTTTTATTGATTCATCTATGTGCAAGTATCCACGGTCAGCGTTTATGATTATGTTCGAGTTTGACCTTTAAGTCATGCTACTTGTAGTGTTATCTCTGAGTTAGTGTGTGTATCATTCATTAATTTCGAAGCGCACTCGTTGAGAGTCGGGAATGTGGCAGGAGCAGTGGTGGCAAACTTTTAAGCGTAAATATAATCGAAATGTAAGCTATACGACCATATCATATGCTGGCAGATTTATTTTTGGTTCCATGACTAAAAAATTAAATATCCTTGCTTTCCTATAGTTGAAGGGTGTTAGGTTTTATAAAATATTTAAATGCTTGATATGATGTATAGATATATATTTAAATTAATATTATAGTAAATTTATATATTTGTTTTAACTTAGAGCTCTAGTGTCTAAACAGTGTTTAAAGATTAAAGAAAATTTTTCATTCAACGCATTTTATCGAAAGTTAGTGCGTTCTTAGTGCTTTTATGATGTGCGACAAACGTCAATGCCGTGTCGAGTTTCTTCGAGTCAAGCTACTATCTGCGCATGCGCCAGTTTTAAATTAACGCAGCGCATAGGTACGGCGACTATACCTAACCTATTGATTCATGTCAACATCAACAAACTTATTTTGCATAATTTTGGTGTTTTGCATTACTTATTGTAGGTTGTTTTAAGGATTCAAATAGGGAACTCGACTTCGAAGAGTGGCATCAAATTGTAAGTACTGGAAATATTATTTTGATAAATGTTAATTTTGTAAATAACATGAATGAAGCCAGAACATTGTATGTTCGTGTTTTGTGAAACCTTGATGTGGCTTTGTTTTAGGCATTTAGCATTCAAACTCTACCCCATAAGAAACCTGTTCAGTTATTAGACTGTAGGTATTGAAATTCTGTATAGATTTCTCTATTAACTTTTGTGATTAACACAAGGACAAGCCAGAAAAAATTGTATTTTGGTGTTTTGAGTCACTTATTTTTGTTTGTTTTAGGCGTCTAGCAAACGAACAGTCATGTTTTCATCAAATTATTAGTATTGAAATTCTTTATAATTTTTCTTATTAACTTTTATGATTAACGCACGAGAAAGCAAGAAAAATTGGATTTTCGTGTTTCGAAACACTGATTTTTGTCTGTACTTTTATCCGGTTGTAAGTTATGGATTTCTTTATCTTTTTTATCCATTCCTTTCTTGTTTAATTAGTTTGTTGCTTTAATTTGCTTTATTTTTATCGAAACTAGATGGCGCGAGGATTGTGTATGATTTGATTTTCATTCTCTCCTGCCGTCGATCTTCATGGCGAGTTTTCTCCTTTCTTGAGAATTTAACATGGCACAAATATTATTATCTAGTATTTATTATTCAGATTGACGAGACTATCATGCAAGTTATATGAGGAGAAACCCACGACTCATTGTTCTAGATTCCATTATTCCAAAGACACTTAATTACGCATTTCCATATTTATTTAAAATTCATATGTATAAATAGCGCGCCAACTAAATTGTACTAGATTATTATTGTATTCTAAACTTCAGTTAATAAACAAGTAAAGGTTTAAATAATTGTTCCTTTGAATCGTTCACTAGAAATCTAATTAAGATATCCTTAAGTAACACAAGTGAATCGAAGCCTAGAAACAAGTTCTAATTCGCGACCGCGATTCGAACAAATAAATATAATATATGTGAACAATTCGTGAATTAAAAGATAAATTCTTTAATATAAAACCACTCGACACGAATCGCGAATATAATTGGCGCAGTCGGTAGGATATGATAATTCTTCATCGAGAAAACCTTGCTGTTTCAACAGTTAACTCAGATTCATACTCGCGGTACGCGTGAAGCAAAACATTCAAGTGAAAAAGACTATCGAACTTTGCGTGTCTGGACACCATCTCAGAATTGTCATGGAACTGTCATCCTTTCCAATCCCTAGATATTTCACAAACATTGGAAAATCAAATCCACATTAATAATATAAATTCAGGGTTAGATTCGGAAAATTAAATATCTGAAAACTGAAGTTTCAAGATGCCTAACGATTTCAAACCGGAATACCTGAAATGTGTGCCAGAATTCAATGGCGACACAAACGACTTAGTCGAGTTTCTCAGTTGCGCCGAGAGTATTGTTAACACGTTCGTTGACACTAACGACCCGGGCAACTTCATAAACATTTTTATATTGAAATCAATAATAAACAAACTCACCGGAAGTGCACGAATCGCCGTGAACATTTCGGGAGTTCGTACTTTAACGAGTTAAAAGAGACACTCATACGTAATTTTAGTGACCAAAGAGACGAAGTATGTCTCATACGTGACATGGTCTTGCTAAAGCAGACAAATGAAACCGCGTTACAGTATTACGACAAAGTAATAAATATTCAAAATTTATTGTCTCCGTATCTGAACGCACATGAATTAAATGATATCACGATTAGAGTAAAAAGGGAGCTATATAATAAACTAGCTTCGAAAACTATAGCCGGGTTAAATGAGCCATTGGGAAGCTCAATCAGAGCTATGAGACCCAATAACATGCAAATAGCATTGCAATATATTAATGAGGAGCGTACTCTACTATCAAAAAGACACTATTAAAACAAACGCGAATGCTAATTTCCAAAAGATAAATCTGTCACCCGGCAATATCAGCAAATTTAATCCTAATCAAAATTACAAAAGTCCGTTTCAACCTCAGAACAAATTCGTAAACACAAAACCTTTCAATGAACAACCAAAATCAAACTTCTCAAGAGACTCAAATGTTTTCAAACCAAATCCAAACTATAAACCCAATCCGGAAACACCAATGAGTATCAGCACACGCCAATCGGTACCATACGGTAATTTCTCGAAGCCGAAACAAAGCTTTTACAGGACACAACAATATCATAACATCGAGTCGGAAAATTTAGACTCATCGCTTGAGTCAATGTTTCGTGAGGAAACCTTACCTGATGAAGGTAACCCCGAACAAAATCCGTATGATGACACCAATTTCGAGGAAAATCCCGTAAATTTTCAAGCACTAGCCTCGGAGATCCAAGAATAATAGAAGTAAACAGTTGTGACAATACAAGTAGACTATCGTACATAATTTTCCCGGAGTATAACAATCTAAAATTACTAGTTGACACAGGTTCAACAACTTCTTTCATTGACCCTGACATTGCGGAACAAATATTTCCAAAAACAATCAATTTTGACCCATTTATCATTTCAAATGCTTTTTCCTCATCGACACATCAATACAGTGGCCAGATGCCTGTATCAAAAATGTTTAAGAGACCGAATGAGTTCATGAAATTCAATTTGTTTAAATTTCATAATATTTTTAAAGGATTAATTGGCATAGATAATTTAGAGTTCCTTAATGCAACAATCGATGTAAAATACAGAAAGTTAATAACGCCGAACGCCGAAATTCAGATTTATTACCAAAAAATCAGTAAGAAATTAAATAGTTACGAGGTACAACCAAGAACAGAACAAGTTATTAAAGTCAAAACAAGTATAAAAGAGGGAGATGTAATCATTCCAAGCATAAAGAGCAATAATTGCGAAATCCCAGAATGTCTTACAAAAAGTAATTATTATAATGCATTAATCACAATAGTCAATAAAGACGACAAAACCGCAGTGGTCGACTTTACACAACCATTAACTGCGGAATTGTATGAAGGAAAACTTTATACACCGGAAGAATTTCATAATTTAAACTGTTATTCGAAAAGAGATAATATTCAAAACATACCGAAAATCCGAACAGAACACATGAACCCAGAAGAGAAGTATTACATTCAAAATTTAGTAAAAGAAAATTCGAACATATTCCACAACGAGGATAAGCCTCTAACATTTTCAAATAAAGTTAAGTACGAAATCAGAACACATGACGAAATGCCAATCTACACTAAATCGTACAGATATCCGTTTGTTCATAAGCAAGAGGTGCAAACACAAATTCAAAAAATGTTGAGTCAAAAAATCATTCAACCAAGTAACTCCATGGTCCTCTCCCATCTGGATAGTTCCGAAAAAATTAGACGCGAGCGGAAAACAAAAGTGGCGTGTCGTAGTCGATTATCGGAAGCTAAATGAAAAGACGATTAATGACAAATATCCTTTACCGAATATCACGGATATCCTAGACAAACTAGGGCGATGTCAGTACTTTTCAACCTTAGATTTAGTCTCAGGTTTCCATCAAATCGAGATGAATCCGCGCGATTCGGAAAAAACCGCGTTTAACGTAGAGAACGGACATTTCGAATATATAAGAATGCCGTTCGGACTCAAAAATGCACCGGCAACATTTCAAAGAGTTATGGATTTCATACTAAAGGGAATTCAGAACGAATTGTGCCTAGTCTATATGGACGACATAATTATTTTCAGTGTTTCCTTACAGGAACATATTCAAAATTTGCGAAAAGTATTCGATCGTTTACGAAACGCGAATTTCAAAATTCAAATAGACAAATCAGAATTTTTCAGGAAAGAAGTAAACTTTCTAGGACATGTCATTACACCATCGGGAATACGACCTAACCCAGACAAAATCAAAGCAATAAAGCAATTGCCGGTACCAAAAAACTCAGAAACAGTTAAAAGGCTTCCTAGGTTTGCTAGGATACTATAGAAAATTTATTAATAACTTTGCCACAATCACTAAACCGCTAACTCAATGTCTCAAGAAAAACGCGAATATTACCTTAAGTGAGGAATATATGAATTGTTTTGAAAATGTAAAACCAATTCTTCAGTACCCTGACTTTACTCAAACATTCAATCTCACCACGGACGCGTGTAATGTAGCAATAGACGCAGTCCTTTCACAAGGAACTATAGGAAAAGATTTACCTGTAGCATACGCCTCCAGAACTCTAAAAACTCGGAAAAAATTACTCAACAATTGAAAAAGAACTATTGGCTATCGTTTATGCAACCAAATATTTTAGACCATATTTATATGGAAGGAAATTCAAAATTATAACCGATCATAAACCACTACAATGGTTATTTTCATTAAAAGAGCCAAATTCAAAATTCGTCAGATGGAGATTGAGACTCGAGGAGTACGATTATGACATTGTTTACAAAAAGGGTAAGTTAAACGCAAACGCAGACGCGCTGTCGCGAATCGAAATTAATTGGACAGAGACGAAACGGATAACGCGAAAGACATATTTGAGTACATGTACGCATTCTATAAGGAATCGAATCAACCCAAAAAAGTTTCGGAATCAGTGATAGTAAATTATGACGAACACTCAGTTGAGAGTGATGAAGAAAGAATAATTCAAGATATTAGCAATTCAAAACCCGAATCATTCAAGAGCCAAACTGACCATTCTAATCAGTTTGAAGAACCAGAAAACGTAATACCAATAATTGATAGCCTTCTAAATAAGGGTCAAAATCAGCTAGAATTCATATTAGTAAATCATTCAGCCCAAAAACCAAAATTAACCAGACCATTTCCAAACAAATTAAGACTCACAAATGAGATTAGCAAGGATAAATTCGAGACAGAAATAATAAATTTCATACGAGAATACATTGTGCCACAGGTTACATACTATATCCATTTTAAACCGCCGGAAATGTATTACCAATTTTCAGAAATAATTCGAAAAACTTTCCGTTGGCCTAGTTTTAAATTCCTTTGCGTTAGAAACAAACTAATAGAAGTTCCTGAGAATGAAATTTCGGAAGTAATACAAAGATACCATGAAAGTAAAACCAATCATAGAGGTATAAACGAGACAGAGAGTAGAATTAGGCAAATCTATTATTGGCCTGGGATGAGAAATTCTGTTCAAACATTCATAAATACATGTGACATATGTCAAAGAACTAAATACGAAAGAGTACCAATAAAAACAGGAATAAGTATTACACCAACTCCTACCAAACCCTTTTTAATAATTCACTTAGACACTTTAAAGATTCAGAAAGAAATATTTCTTACAATAATTGACAGTTTTTCAAAATTCGCCCAAATATATAAATTACCAAGTTTAAATTCAATAGACATAGTTTCAAAATTAATTCAATTCTTCTCATGCTACGGAGTACCGAAAAGAATCATAACTGATAACGGTACAGAATTTAAAAACACTAATTTGAAAAACCTTTTAGCCTTACATAAGAACATATTAGATTACTAAAAGAACAATTTCAAGATTCAATAGATAACCAAACATTATACGCAATTCTTGCTTATAATAATACCATGCATTCAGCAACTAAGCAAAAGCCAATTGACATAGTTACAGGACATTTAAATTTAGAAGACCCGTTTGATATTGACTGTAATATCTCACTAATGAGCAATTATGTTCAAAATCATAAGGACAAGGTCAAATTATTATATCAAAAAATCAATGAAAAATTGCAAAATCAGAAGGAACAAGTTGCTAAAAAATATAATGAAAACATTAATCAACCGACATTACGGGAAAACGAGACATTCTATCCAAAAGAGTTACAAAGAATCACGAAGGTACAAAATAAATTTAGAGGAAAAGAACAAATCGATACAATAGATCCGTCAAAAAATGTAATAAAAACAACAAAGCGTGCTTACCATACTAGAAATATCAAGACCGGTAAAAATAATACAGGACGTTCTCCTACAGGTTCGCCCTCCTTCTGGCACTGATCACCCTGGTACCAGCGCAGGTGGAAATTAAAAATTTACATTCCAACCTTGAATTGTTACAAATTCATTTTGGCCCGGCAAAAATTCAAAAATACCACCACACAATTATACAATGTATCATTGATTATCCATTATTTTGGAGAACTAAATACTAGAGTCAATCAAATATTAGAGACCATTAGTAATAACCTGCACTATGAATCAAGCTTGGGGAATTACGCAAAAATCATCACGAATATACAAAGTACTATTTCCGAGGAAATTAACGAAATAATTCCAAATAAAAGAACCAAAAGAGGCCTAAATAATGCCTTGGGCTCAATAATAAAAACAATATCAGGCAATCTTGACAAAGAAGATGGCAGAAAATATGAAGAGATGATTAAAAATCTAGAAGCAAATTAAAAATTAATTAACAATCAAATTCAAGATCAATACACTTTATCGACAGAAATAATAGATAAATTTAATAAGATAATTGCAACAATAAGTATAAACGAAGTTTCGCTGGAATTACACTTGCAGAGAGCTGAAATGGATTTAAAAAATCAAATCGAAAAATCAGAGATTTATGACGTCACAGATACTCTAAATCAATTACATCTGATGTACCAAACAATTGAGCACAGGCTAAGTAATTTGGTCACTGCCCTAACATTTTCAAAATTAAGACTCATGCACTCAAGTATTATTTCAACAAATGAGTTATATACCTCATTGCAAAATTTAGAATCGAGAGGCAATCTTAATCAGTTACCATTTGAAGTTACACATGAAAACGTAATTAATTATTCAAAATTAATAACTCTAAATTCATACATTGTTGACACTAGAATAGTGTTCATTCTGGAAGTACCAATGTTTTACGAAACATCATTTGATCTTTACAAACTGTATCCTATCCCAATTTGTCAACAAGACAGCACCTTCCGAGTAATCCTTCCACAAGCTAACGAATCTGAAGATTGTCAGCTACTGAATGGAACATACTTATGCAAACGAACGATTATACAAAACGTGCAGAGAGACAATTGTGAAACGAATATACTAACAAAGCAGAATCTGTCCAATTGAGTGCAACACGAAATTGAAATCGTAGTGGTTCTACGAAAGGATATAGAAGACATAACGGATTGGGTACTATTTGCTCCATACGCGAAAGAACTAAGAATAAACTGCCCAAACAAGAGAGAACTTCAACTTCAATTTGAGTTCAATGAAGAAACAATTCAACCAATAATCACAGAAAGCAACAGCCAACCCCTGTTCATTATATTTAATAAGAACAACATTGATTCCACTGGTCAAACAGACAGAGATAAAAGTGAATAACGAACAAATAGACATCAATGAAATCAATGATCGCAAGGCAAAAGCGAAATGGTCTCAGATCAATCCGTTTCGATCAAGAACTAAGACACGTGACTATACCCAATACACGTTAATCATGTTAATCGATATAATCATCACCATTATCATCGGACATCCCTACGTCCGACGATGGTTTAACAACAGAAGAAAAATCAAATCTCACTCCGAAGATATTTATTATATTTTATTATTTATTATATTTGCGATTCGTGTCGAGTGGTTTTTATATTGAAAGAGTTTATCTTTTGTTTGTATTAATAATACATTTATTTATTCGGAATCAACCTCGCGAATTAGATCTTGTTAAAAGACCGTCGATGCACTTGTGTAGTTTAAGGATTTATTGATGAGGTTTCTACAGAGCGATTCAATTGAACACCGATTTAAACCTTTAACTTGTTTATTTGGCAAAGTTGAGATTACAATAGATCTGTTACGTTTTGGATGACGCACTATTTATACATTTTTATAACTGCGTTCTAAACAAACAAGGAAATGCGCAATTAAGTTTCTTAGAACAACTAAATCAAGAATAATAAGTTATTGCGATTAAAATAAATAACTAATGCGTTTGAAATAAATTATTAATGCGTCTCAAGTAAATATACCTACTTCTTGATAAGTAACATGCAGGGACATCTCTTGACAATAATAGTAACTACAAAACCATTGCACAGGTTAGTTCTGTTGTTTACACCAACTACGCTTCTTTATTGTTGTTTATAGTGATACTCATGTTAAAATGGATATAATTGAATTTAAAGATATTAAATCTGTGCAAGATATTGTCCATCCTTATGATAGTACCTTAAGGAATAGTTCAGTGCCAATCATCATTGACAATGGTAAATTAATTATATTTTACTACATTATGTGGAATATATTCATTTGATTTTTTTAAGGTTCCTGCACAAGTAGAGTAGGATGGGCTTCCCAGTCTGAGCCACTCTTAATATTTAAAAATTTAATTGCTAAGCCCAGAAAAGAAAGATCTAAAAAAGATACAAATGTTGAAGTACAAGCACCCCCATTACAAGTTGGAAATGATATTTTAAATATTGAAGCAATGCGTTTTCAACTCAAAACACAGTTTGACAAGAATATTGTAACTCATTTTGAGGCACAGGAGCATTTATTTGATTATACCTTTTATCACTTGGGAATTGATACAGAAAAATGTGTTCCACATCCAATTGTACTTTCTGAAGGATTCTTAAATCCAAATTCTTCAAGACAATGTAAGAAATATATAGTAAAAATAAATCATAATTTTTTAATCAACAAATTTCGTTTTAGTAATGTCTGAATTGTTATTTGAGTGCTATTCAGTCCCTAGAATTTGTTATGGTGTTGATGCATTATTTGCACACCAACATTTGACATCCCAGAAAGATGCTCTGCTGTTGAATTTGGGATATCATACAATGCATGTGATACCAATATTAGATGGCAAAGCATACTTTGAACATACTAGAAGAATCAATACTGGTGGTCATCAGATTGTAATGTTTTTACATCGAATGCTACAGCTTAAATATCCAGCACATGCAACACAGATAACATTGAGTCGAGCAGAAGAATTGTTGCACCGTATTTGTCTGATTGCACCGAATTATCGTGAGGAGTTAATGCGATGGAATGACGTCGAATATTATGAGAAGAATATTAAGAAAATACAGCTTCCTTATAATGCTCACATACCATCTGCTGGTTTAACAGGTATTTGTTAATTTGCTTTTAATTATGTAGTGACATATAATGAAAATATTTTTATATTACAGCTGAACAACAGAAAGAAAGGAAAAAAGAACTTGCGAAGAGACTATCTGAAATAAACGCACGTCGTAGAAACGAAAAATTGGCAGAAGATGAAGAGAAATTACAGAAATTGTATGATATACAAGAACTCGATGATGACATTGAAGAGTTTGAGTATGCATTGAGTCAAAACGGAATTGAGACTCAAGAAGATCTAGAAAAGAACATCAATCTGTTAAGGAATCGAATTGAAAAGACAAAACAGAAAATTCTCGCGGCGAATGCCGAAGAATTAATCGACGAACCACCAACTAAACAATTAAAGCTAAATAAAATTGTGTTTGAGAATGAGAAAGCGCTGCAATTGTACGTTCAAAACGCTAAGCGAATGGTAAACATTAAAAGTAATATAGTTAAACATTGGTGTGACTACTTTTTTGTGTTATTGCAGAAACAAGAAATATTGAACAAAAAACTAGTGAGAAAACAGCGTAAACAAGACATGGCAAAACGTCGAACGGCGGCTGGACAAGAACGCATGCGAATAATTTCGCAACTTGCCAGGAAAGAAAAAGGAAATGACGATTTTGGAATTCGCGACGAAGATTGGGACATTTACAAAACAATCAGTCGAGATGGTAAAACTTAATTATTAAACCTAAAACAAACTCGATATTAATTTTATATTTGTTTCCTTAGGCGGTGATAGTGATAGCGATGCAGAAAACGAAAAACTTCTCGAATTGGAAGAGGTAATAAAGTCATATGATACTGGTGAGGAACACGATCATTTAGCTCCAGCCGAAGCTCATCAACTACATATCGGTATTGAGCGATATCGCGCACCAGAGTTGCTTTTTAAACCATACATGATTGGTTCGTCAGAGGCGGGTTTATCAGAAGTGATGGGTTATGTGCTCAAATTATTTTCTCCTGAAGAACAGTTGCGTTTAGCGGGTAATGTGGTGCTAATGGGTGGTTTGTCACAACTACCGGGATTAAAGGAACGTATTCAAGCTGATTTAACGCCGATAAGACCATTTCAGAGCTATTCAGCTGTTGATTTAATGCCAAATCCAATACTATCACCATGGCAAGGGGCACGGAAGCTTGCTAATAGTGATTTATTCGAAAGTTACTGCGTATCGCGGGCAGAATATGACGAATATGGTGGTGAATATTTTAAAACACACATTGCATCGAATTTGTATACTCCAAGTCCCAAGGAACAATTGGTTGAAGTAGACATTTAATTGTATTTGAACATTCTACAGCTAATAAATCATATAAAATGCAATCGACTCTAATACTACGTTTGAATAATATTTGCATTTATGCACTTTTAAACGATTAGTCTCCCGGCGGTCCGGGCAGCAAGCATATTGACGCATGTGCTCTTGCACGTGCGGAAAGTGGGTACATATTTAGGTGCTGAGTTCATGTGCCCTTTGATATCGAGCGGCTATGAGGTTAAGGGTCACGGTAGCACATGCCGCAACATGCATCCCTGTGCTTACCTTCAAATTAAACCAACCAGGAGCCTCAAACGCCACGTGGATCGAGTTTCTTCATCAAAAGATGCTTGGTAAAAGTCAATTTAAATACGGTACGACAACCGGTTTAAATTAGTAACTCTGCTTTTGAACTATCCACTACTTTGATTAAAATAACAAAAGTTACAGGTCAACTATTACCTCGCAGAGAAACCAACAATTATCGTTACGTAGACGCATTGTGATCAATCACACTGAATAAAGTTGATTCACTTAAAATAAAGTTAGGATTTTCAGAGGATTCATTAAAATACACGTGTTGTAGTAATACACAATTTTCCGTTACATCAAAGACGTCGTTAATAACAGTGCGATGTATTTTATTTTCTGTTCACTTCTTAATATAACACTCAACCATTTGCACACATTCGCAGCGACGAGGTTTGTAAATTGATTCCATAAAGTTCAACCGAGGTATACGAATTGAAATGACATGACGTCTGCAGTAAATTAATTCTGTGATATTAATAAACTTCTTCAAACTTACGTCACTTCTTTATGGAAAATATTTTATTTAAACTTGAAAGAAAAATTACCTTTAATGTGGTTTCCTACTTATATTTTATATACTACAACGAACGTTTCCGTAATAAAAAGACTAATTCGTATTTTTATGGTTGTAAATGGTTATAAACAAATTTGTAGTTAAAGTCAAACACATTTTCGTCGGTTCATTACCGCAGTATTAAATTAGTAACGCGTACATTGATCTGCGTTTATTTTTGGGGGTTTTGCAAAACAAGCCGATTAATTATGGACATGATTGACCAAAATATTACGTTAGCGTGAGCTTTGCAGAATTGTGCATCAAAAATTTTTTTAAACTGTATTTACGATATTAATAAATTAATTTTATTTTAATAAATTTTAATGTTTTTTCTTCTTCCACTTTCAAAGCGCCAATTTTGTTACGGTCTTGAGACACAAAAAGTGGTACTTTAAACTTGGACGACCAAGGCCGTACCTAAAGTACTTTAGTCACGAGGTGGAGCTTGCGCCTGCGCATTTGCCTACGGTGCAGCATAAGCATTTATAACCTTATAACCTTACATTTCCGAATTTCGGGCGAATTTCGAAGATTTAAAATACAAAAGTTCAAATGCAAAAACCTAAACGTGGAAATACAGTGTAAGTAGCGTAAGCATCACGTGGCTAATCGTTGTTAAACACTCGACAGATTAAACGCTTGCTACGCTCGCTCTTAATCAGTCCCATGACAAAAACTCCCGTTTAGCCATTTGATACTTAATATACTACAACAGTGCAACATATTGTATTTTAACGTAGCATGTAAGTACTCACGACCACGGCTCACTGATACGAACAAACAGCTAACCGAGAAACAACAACAAGTTTAGTGTGTTAAGTTTGCATTGGATTTTAAGTAAATAAGTGCATCTTAGTGTCATTTGTGGTCACCCAATTGAGTTATATTTAAGTATGATAAACGCAGCGCGTGAGGTCACACGCATACGAGTATCTGCGTGCAGATACTAACACTAAAAAACAATTGCAGTAAACACAAAGTTGAACACAAACAATCTGCTTTGCGAAACTACGTGAGTTAAAGCGGACATACATTTTTCGCATTAATTAACATATTTTTATATGAATATTCAATATTTTTTAATTTGAAATGCTGAACTTTATAATTAAATTATAATTACTATGAAAAATTGCGTTAGAAGTATTTAAAAACTACGACTTATCCAGTTTTTTTTCTATAATGAATCAAGCAACCCTTCCCAAGCAACCGATGTAATTGTGTAATAAACACTTACCTAAATGCAGAATGCGTTGCGTGAGACGTGGGTATGCAATCTAATTGGTACTCATGGCGGATGGTGGCAAAATCAATATATATGGCATCACCAATTAAACACCTACCTATTTCATTAATCTTTAGAGCACACGATGGTGGCAGTAATTATTCCGCGCTGTCCAGATTCAATATTAGCACCTGCAATGAGTTCAAAATAGTTTATTAATAACAGAAAGATATTTCAATTAATGCGCATCCAACAAATCAAATATTAATGAAGTCAGAACTTATTAATTGCAATAGTTAAGTGCTCTTAAAAGTAATAATTTTCCATTAAATCTCAAAACTTTGTTTTGGAAATATTTAGATGCAACCACAAAACTTTTACGGAAATACAAAAAAAGTAAATATATATTAAATTTGGAGTTTGAAGCGGTAACACGAATTAATTAAGGTCCTCGTTAAACGGACGTAGCTTATTCTGCTAATCCCGGGAATTATTTGATTAAACCCGTTATAACAACGCTCGCTCTTTCAAATTCCTCTCTTCATCAGTGTGGCATACCTCGCTTAAATATCCTTTTGTCTGCTACGCTCTTTCTCATCCACTCTTCGTTTCGGATCTAATTTCTTCACCGGTTGATTGTCTATGGTTTGTTTTTCTTATATTGTCTAAAGTTCGAAGCATTGTTTCATTTTTTGCGTGTATTTATGTGATAAAAGGGTTTTTCACCTCATCGTGTAAGTAAAATAAAGTTAATTCTTTTAAAAGTGTTGCAGATTGTGTTCAAATCGACAAAAACAAAACAAAAACTAACAAACTATCGCTGTAAAACTCATTAATCTTATGTGTTACTATATTGTTCAATCACTTTATCGGAAGACTTTAATTAATGAATGTTTTAAGCTGACCTGAAGGATTGTATCGCGAAATATATTTTGTTTTATACAGATTTGATAAATTTTGATACGGAACTTTTACATTAATTTAATTTTGAAATGTTGAATAATACTCTCCGAGAGTTCAAAAGTCGCAAATACAATTTAAGTAGATGTATATGATTTTAACTTTGTATACAAACAAGTATCGTTTAAATGGTTAAAGCAAACGACAAATAAACTTTTCCTTTGTGAATTGCGTGGACCTAAATATTAAATAATCTAATAAAATATTTGAAATACACAAAATACAAATATGTTAACAATTGTGGCCTGGATTTTGTTTTAGGTGAACTTTTATTTACTCTCTGACTGGTACTAAATAAAAAAATAATCACATGAAAAGCGATGATTTCCCAGTTGTCTGGCACATTGGCCTTGTGTGTCCAAACGTTAATGTCAATACTGGGCTCAACAGCGAAAGTGACGAGTAAGCCGACAAAGTTGGAGCATACGCAAAGCGTCGAAAGAGCGTTTTCGCCGTTTTCAATTTGAAAATTACCTGCGCTTGCGAGACCGAGAGTAATTAATACGAAACGAGGGGAGATTACGATGCCGCGAGAATCCGGGAATGGGAGCGCGGCTCGCGGCCGCGTTGTGCGCTTGCGTTGATTCCCGCAGAACACAGAACATCCCCGGGCTCGTCCAGCTTCTCTCACTTCTCTTACATGTCGAGCGTGCGTCGTACGACACCGTTGCCCCGTACGTAAATACCACGCGCGCGCTAAGCGTCGCGACGCCAGCCGAGAGTGTGCATAAGCTAGCGCGAAACTTGCGAAATGTTCGCGTTTACTGTGAGTCGCAATCGGCCGCGATCGATGCAATTTACTTTTGTGCCGCGCTGAACAAATAAACATCGGACATACGAACGATCGCTCGTTGGTAATTAACGCAATAGTAAAGGTTTTCAAATGTGCGCGCAAAATTTTAGTCCAGTTGTGCTGGGTTAAGTAGCGCAGAGTACTAAAGTGTTTTGGATAGCTGTTGCGCTTGGTGCGCTACGTGTTGCGCGTCGCTGCGAGCTTCTAGATGTTTTCTACAGGCGACGGAAAGTAGAAGAAAAGAAAAAAACGGAACAACAAGAGACGAGCACAACGGCACGTAGTCAGTGATCGCGACAGCAATCTACAGCTGTAATAATACTACGTTATCGAGAGAGTAAGTATTAGTTCTTATCGTCGGAAATAATCAAGACCTGTTGCGCTTGGGTTAAAGTTGTACGGAGGAAATTTTATTCCTGTTCACACGACAACAATTTTTTCTCAACTCAGAACAGCTACAGGTACTAATTATACGTTTGCCGAGTAGGGTTGGTTGCCTACCTACGTAACATCAGCCATAACCTAATTTCTCAATCCTTTCATTGTATAACAATGTTGCAATCATAAAAATGTATAAACTATTTACAGTCATTTTGGGTCTGCATTATTATTAAACTGATTAATGTTGCAACATTTGTTATTTACACGTGCTTGACAAACTGCGATAAGATATCACATTGTAAATTATTATTGTACCATGACTTTCACGCGATTGACATTGTTCTGTAATGGTAAATTATCACCGTTAATTTATCTGCAGATATGGAAAATATCGCGTATTTCCAAAACTTGTAAAGTGGGCTTTTACACACTATTATCGAGAAAAACTTTCCATGCCATTATTTTCATTCCAAGAATGAGAGAAAAAGCTGAAATAACAATATTAAGTCTTGAATCAACAATTAATTACATTGAAAACACACGTCGGAACGTTTATATAATAAAATTGTTATGTCTACAATCATATAGATGCTAAATAAATAAACGAAAAGAATAGAGCACAGAGTGTGTAGAACAAAAAACTCGCACAGTGCAAAGCGCAGTTTCTATGAGTTTTCAAAGTTAATTTGATCCGTGCGATTCTAGCTGTCTGCCAAGTTTTAACAATCGCTACCGTAACACTGTTACACATCATTGAGCCCTTAATATTTCATAGCGCTCCTCGCCATCCGGAAATCGCTTTTTCCTCCTATTCGCGCGTCTCCCAGCGCTAATCCATCATTCTATATTGCGCAATCAATGATTCTGTGCAGTGTAGTGTAATCCTTCCTAAATCGAAACACTCACCGCTGCTCCATTCCTAAGCAGCATTTCAAGTATTCAGGGTGCGTTGTTTAGGGCGTGCAGGGGTTGAGATGGCTGGTTGCTTTTGCGTGCTTGGTTTTCAATACGAAAGCTTGTTTGATCTTCTTTTTCACAAAAGCAGCAGAGGTACGAGTAGACTGTTTGGACGAGCCCGCACCTCGAGAGAACTCTCAACTTTTTACATTACCCTTATCGTTTTTTGACTCATGTGGTAAACGTAGTTTGCTTTGAGTTTTCTTTTCGTTTAGTTTTACTTATATTTCAAGGAACGAAAAAGTATAGATGAAGATTAAGCGGGCTTTTGTAAAAACAATAATATTGATGGGATATGTCCATCATTTGCATAGACTGTTCAATTGGAAGGAAATGTGCATGCCTGCAAGGCTATTATGAAAACAAAATGAAAGCAGTATTCAAAGCAGTATTTGATCTTTGCATAATTCATTCTCATTACAAAATTTAAAACTAAGCTAAGGAATTACACTGACTCGTATATATTAATTTTGTACTAAATTTTGTGCGGTTTTTTTCGCTTGTCTACTGAAATCTTGAATATTGTACGATAATACACTTTGAATGACTATGAAGAAAAGTGTCTGTAAAGTGTATGAAAAGACAATTTATCATTTTTAATACCAATGGGTTTAAACCTACAGGCATGATGCAAAAATACTGTCTAAGGACAGTGTAGCAAGCGGAATTAAAAGAACCCCCACGTAAGATGCAAAGGAAACGGGATGTAAGCCATGATTTATGACCTTGCCATTTTTTACCTTTAAAAGTAAAAACCGTGGGCCATAAAAAGTTATGTCTTTCATGATTCATATTTGTAAATTTCAATAAAGTTTTTTTCCGGGGATAAATATTGTCGAATAAATCCACCGACAATTTGTATTTCTTAAATCGCTGAACGCAATAAAACTTATTTTTATAATGCAAAATTCTTGGAAATACTTAAGTATAGATTGTTTTCTTTTTTTAATTTAGTATGTATTGCGATCATCATAGATGTTAAACATCATTCATCAAGTGTTATGACGCAGGCACTTAATATTTTACGTTTTTACTCATAATTCCATCGTCTAGCCAACAACTTACAAGATATTTATAACTATTTCTTAAAATATCTAATTAATTTAAAATTAGTAACAACATTTCCGAAAATTCATTGCTTTAGTCAATTTCCGGAACGCAACTTAATGACTCAATGAATTTTAATTGTTAAATTTCAATAAGTATTAATAATTCGGCATACACATTATCTTCTTTCGAGAAATTCGCTAATCTTTGTCGTCAAACAAGAAACATTTTCAGTCGCTTAGACATAGTCGCTCGACTCCTTGAGGCGAAACTTTTGCAAGAGAAGTCGACGTTCCCCAAGAGTCTCAGACTTCTCTTACCTTAGGTATTATATTGCTTTCGGAATGCTTCTTGTGGAACTCAACAAGCTTGAAAATGTATCGTCGATGGTTTGTCTATATTCTCTACGAACTTTATGTTAGAAATTTCTCTAGTGCACGCTCCACGGAGATTAAAGGTGTAAACAAACTTTTTTTACATTTAAAAAATATAGCAAAAAATTTAGATGTAGAGTATTTCTTTTTTGCTTGTTTAGGAATAAGGGTTTCAATTTTATTAGGGTTAGTGCAGGTTTGATGGGATCAGATGAAATACCAAGAAAATTGATATTTTTTTAAAGATATTGATTCAATTTTTTACCATTTATCTATCCAGTAGCATTTATTTATGTGACACGCGTGAGTCGAAGAATTGTTGAAATAGTTTTCTGCGTGGGTGAAATTCCACTCTGATAGTCAACATTTTTATATCTCTACAATGTTAATTGTAGAATTTATTTTCATAAAGTTATAATATACAAAAACATTAAAAAATAAATAAAATAAGTTTCTATTTAAGTTATTTAAGTCATTATAACTTTTGTATCTGTATAATCCCGGCGCCTTCACAAGTACATCACTGAGCATTTAAGTTCCGAGACGTTATAATTACAGTAATTTAATTTACTTAATGCAATTCGCAGGTTCAGTTTTTTTTTTACATAAAAAACCTCTGCCGACATGAAAGCTTAGCGGATCAATAGTTGAATTGCATTTCCCATGCAGAATTTCAACATTTATCAAAAGAACTACGTTCAACTAGTTATTTGAACAGTCACTTTTTATTTGATTGGTAAACTTGTTTTAATTAAATTTGTATTTTGTAAAATATATTGGATGTGTATCAGTTCAATGCATCTAGTACGTATGTAGGTGTGTATACCAAATATTCTGTAAACTAGAAACTATTCGATACAGGAAACCTGCGTTCCATGTGTCTGATCAGGTGAGGAATGTCCGGTGCACGCATCATTGGATACAACGACTCTATTATACTACGCACCACGCAGACATGTCGATTTTGATAAACGAGCATAATTTTGTCTTCTATTAATAGCACAAAACAGGGGGCATTGTTTTGGTGCTATTGTTGTTTCGTTTGCAAGCTTTCAAACACAGGCACGTATGTTGTGACTTAAACAATATTTACTTAATTAAGATTAAATTCTTTCCAAATTATGATTATTTGCAAAGAAAGGCACATATTACGCAATATTCTAACTTTAAGGATTCAAATCGTAAAACTTTAACATCAGTCATTTGGAAAGGAGGAAAATAAATTAAATGCCAGCTCGGTTGCTAACGCCTCTCATCGTCTGAATCAAATATACATTTAACCCGCATTGTATATTTTCTTATTTGTCTCCTCGTCCTGTGTTTCACTTGTTATTTCACATTCTATCATTTATATGCATGTGTAACATTTACATTACATTATTACTGGAATATTACTTGTTATGTTTGTAGCCATGTAATGCAATGTTGCAGTGCTATAAATTGTGTTATTCGCAAATTACATTAGGTACTAACTACCTCACGCTGGCTGATAGAGAATTTGCAACTACTTGACCTATTCTTTTACAAAATACAGATGAATAGAAGCGCCATCCGTCTAGCCTATTTTTCGAGAACATACTTTAAAATGAGGTTGAGTGAAATATAAAACTATGATAATGACGTCTATTGTTGTACGTTATTAATATAAGTATCACTCAAAAATATATCTTATATCTAAATATGCTTTTAGTTGAAAAATATTTACTTCAATGGCTGTAGAGTCACATTATTTTATCCATAGCAGTGAAGTAAAAGTTTATAAGTTTAATCATGTGCAGATTACTACAATTTAAGTTTTTCATAGCGTACTGATCACCTTTGTGATAATTTTTATGTGTTTTAGACAGTTTCCCTTTAAATTCCCTCGAGTTTTCAGTGAAATTGTCTCTGGCAGCTCCTGTTTTAGCAATAAAAGGAAAAATGACTTGTCTCGCCGCAATATGAAAAGTTCTAAACAGTTTTATAAAATTTACACACACATTTTGCATTTTTCATAGCTACAAACATTTTATAGTCTGTACGAATAATGTAACTTTTTTATTCTCGTCTCTTCGGTCGTTTGTCCTGCTCAATTGTATTTTTTTTAGTTTGTTTTACGAATTTTAATTCAATTCAATAAATACTGATGCGAGGATTATAGAGTTTCATTTCGTTTTGTTTAATGCTTTTATTGTCCGGAATGTGAAAAGCTTTGCCCGTGAGTTTAATTTAATTTATTCACAAAATTTTATTTTCCATGTTTCAAGTATTTTCCTGCAGTATATTATTGCAGCTTTATAGTTTTTTTCTCACTGACTTTATTCGTTGGTTATAGGAGTTTGTAATTTAGTGAACTTTTTTATGCTTGCAGACTGATTGTGTGGATTCACGATGCCGGCGAGAAAAGGTCTGCTTGCTCCGCAGAACACGTTTTTGGACACAATTGCAACGCGATTCGATGGCACACGTAAGTTTACTTTACTTTTTAGTTCAATGTTTTTCTTTAGACTCAATTCAAACCAAAATTTCGACGAATATTCGGAGATTGATTGAAACCTAAAGCAATAAAAGTATTTAAATGTTTTTTTACATGTCTTTATTTATCAAGCGTTGTAAATCAGCAGACAATTTAAAAAACGCGATCGATGTAACTGCGGCTGTGCTCACGTATTTTTATTATCATTGAACGTCACAGAGAATAAAGAGATTTGCGAGATGTGTGTCCATAATATTCGGGTTGGAATTATACAGCGCTGTTGGGAGAAGAATAGACGAGTGCGTTGACGGTGTGGAAAACAGCAGCGAAAACGTTATTACTTTGCTGAACCTCGAGGAAATTTAAAAGAAGAAGGAATTCACCAAGGGGGATGTTGGACAAAGAAAGGGAATCTTTATAACGATCGCGTTCTTAAAAAAAGGGAGTGTTACATCGTATTCAAGATGTTAAAGAATATTTTTTAAAGTTTCTAACACTCAAACTTATAATACACAATAATTATTCCCTAGACATATAAATAATGCATTTTTTGGAAACCTGTGGCTGTTAATGTAACACACAATTCAATTTGCTGAACTTCCGAATTAACAAGATTTACTCTTGGGATAATCAACAGGCTTCCGAGACCTGGCGAGCACTTGAACAAAACCTCTGAACCAGGAAATACCGGAGACGTTTCCCATTTCCAAGAAATATCGTTGAAGTGAAACAAAGAACCGGAAATTATCATACAACAATGAATAAAGATCAATATAATGAAAACGCTGCAAAAACATCGTAGAAGTCTATTTTCAGCCCCAAAAATAAAAAATAATCAATGATTGATGCATTGAAAGCTACTCTGATGAATAGACGTATTTCTAAGTATTCTAAATTCAATCTCATGAATGTCAGCTTGAAAGCTTACAGATTGATGCACTATGTGCGCAAATTGAACAAAAATTGCAGAAAAATAGTTCAATAGTTGGACTTTTATTGAATAAAGTTAATTAAAGTTTAATTAAATTTACAATAACAATTTGTTATCGGTTTGAACACAAAGCGCGTAACTAATCGATGTTTTTAATAAATATAATTTTATTTACGTCACGCGCACCGCTGATTATTAATATTAATATATTCAGGCTTTAACGCGTATTATCACATATTATCACAAAGTTAATCCGCAAAAAAGCATATAAACAATAACGATTTTCGGTCGAATGCGTTACCCCATTTATTTCACTCACGCCGAAATTAATGAAGAAGAGTTCGACGTGTTTTTATTATCAACGTGTGCCATAAAATACATCAATATCAAAAAATATGTGAAACCACAACAATAGTACCTTATTTATGCAGAAAAATCATTGATTACATAAAAAGAATAAAAAACATTCCTATTTAACTATTCATAGGATCTTTCCAATAAATACTACTTAAGTAAAAATCCATGAAAAAGCTTTCCGCTAGCGTAGCCTACGCAGAAATTTCAAGATATTCTATCTTCACACAATTCTACAATTCTGGAAAAGTAGGAAAAAACGTGCTGAAGCAACTGTAGCAGTCTGCTATGAAAGTTTTTCCAATTTTGCTCATGACCTCGAGTATGCGGCTTGATACCATATGTTACGATAGAAAAAAATTACTATCACGTGACGATACAAACTAAAGTCGATATATACGAGTACTCTTGAAAGCGTGACACATGCAGAATATTGGAAGATATTGAATGAAGAAAATTTTATTTATAAATTTGCCATTTCTAAAATGCCTGAAGTAACATATCCGAAATAGTTCTGGCAGTGACATTCGATTAAACACAGCAAAACGGAAATTAGTTTTAAAAGTTTCAGAATGAAATAATTTAATGTCAGGTTTTGAAATGAGGATGTTCCTATTTGAATCTAAAATCTAAATACATTACGCAGCATAATATTTAGTACAGTATATGCAGCGTGAATCTGGATAATAATTGCCTTCCGGTTATAGGTTAACGATGTACTATAGTTCTCAGTCAGTGTTAATTTTACCCGCTGCCACCGCCTTAATTACACCAACTAATCATAATATTAGTTTAATAATTAATACTATTATCTAATCCACATTTTAATAATATATTATTTTCATAGTGTTTTAGAAAATAAATATTTTTAATAATCTGAAATATGATATTTGCTTTGAACAGTATAAATCAGGTTTAATGTACAATACAGCCAGATTTTCCGGTCATATTTGTCCTAAGCCCACAATACACACAAATACAGTCGAGTCGAGTTGATTCTCTCATTTCGTACGCGCTGACTTGGTTACATTATCGACCGGCAAATGGCGAGCAACGTCGGGCAATGCCGGCAAATCCACTCGCGAGTCTAATAGCCAAGTTAGTTTTAATCTTTCCTCGACGAGATACATTAATTCTAACGGATTCTGCATGCGGAAATTACGAATGTGTCGGACGATACGAATTCTCTGCGGTTGCAGACTGAAGTTATGCTGAAGATAAAACGTGAGTTTTCCGGTGAGGATTGTACGCCGGTTGTCATGTTCAACAGGTACGGATAACATGCAGGTTTCTTGTTGTAATAACTATAAACTTTATCATTTTACTCGCTGAGTTATATTTAACTATAATGTAAATGTGCGAAAGTTTATTTTAGCTCAGCCAGTGTAACAAGTTTGAAAGTATTCAGAATCGAAATACTTTTTAGACTATTTCTATTAAAACAACTAAATCTCCAACAAAGTATTTCCCGCATCTTGGTTTTGTTTGTGTTTGTATTGTTTTCTTGGTCTGGAAAGAAACCAAGAAGAAATTTATAGAACTAGATTAATAAATTATTTATCCAGTAAAAGGAGTTTGACGTTTTTCTGCGGACGTGAAATTTACTGTTTTCTTCGCACCACGTAACTAAAGAAACTTTTCGAGGAACTAAAGCATACAGGAAACGATAACGCGGAATGGCGTTGCTAAGGGAATAAATGTCATTTCGTGTATGAATTTTTGATAAACCAGAGCGCGCTACGCACTTAACTGATATAATTTTTAGAAAAACTTTACTCTGACACAATATTTAATACAAAAAACGGGAAATATTTTCGTGATGAATGCATTAATTCAATAATTCATGACAAAAACTAATTTGCAAGCGGAAAAATGAAGCAGAAAATCATCACAACTGAAGTATAATTTTTAATGATCAGGCGGAATTCCACCGCGCGAACTTCTCGCATTAATCCTTATTACTCCAACTCCAAATATTTTTATTTGAAAACTCATTAAAAGCGCAAAAGCACGCTGCGTCCTCGTAGCAAAAAACTTTGATTTATTCCAGCCCGCATTCCGTTCTACACTCTCGTGTAATCGCAATCTGTCTCCCTTCGACGTTGTTGTGCGTCGTAAGCATTCGCCTTGGAAAAATGAGACAAGCATCGCCGAGTCATTGAAAACTGCGGGCTGATGGAAAATATCTAGAAATATGTATGTAAAATGGAACGAAGGACGCAAGACGCTGACAAATGCCCGAGCTAAATTCGTTCGTGACTTTTTGTGCGAAATTCGTTGCATTGTGATTCCGTGTGCACGTAATAAGATGACTCGAGATCAGCGTGCGCGTCGCGGGATGCAAAATAGGTATATACGGACGAGCAGAAAAGAATACGGGGATAAAACTAGAGCAACTCATGACAGTGTGCGGCACAAAGGATGTCATGCAGAAATGTAAAATTTGCGCGTGGATTTGGAGGAAATAGAATGAATTGGATGGAATTTCACGCCCGACATGTTGAAGTGGTGGTGAGTTTCTTCCAAGGTGTAATACTTATACGCGTAGAGTTTTCACGTCTGTTAGAATCGAGTTTTCTTATCATGATTTATATGTTTACCTACGCATGCAGATAGAATATTTATATCTCATGTGACAGATTTCATTGAACGTCTTTTAAATTCTTATAAATAACTTGCAAAAAAAGACGCAAATGTTTGAAGCCTTTGATTCATTTCATTTCTAAGATTCTACCACAGTGCTACTCTTGGTTTCATCACTTTTGTTTGTTCATCGATTTCTGCATTCAAGCGTCGCGCCACTTCAAAATCAAATACGGTGCTTCGACGAATTCTAAATGTACTTATAGATTCATTCGGTGGTATATTTCGAATGGCAATATGCTAAAAGCACTTTAGTATTTTAAAGGTTTTGGTGACTCGGCTTTTATTGCTTCTGTTCTTTCCGAATTCTGGCCACAAATTGACTACAATGGTCAGTTTAAAAGGTCACAGTTGAAATCGCCCGAAAAAGATCATTTCTAAGGCTATATTATGAGTGAAATTCGAATATAACGGTAAATTAAACTTGAACTTTGATGTTTTCAGTTACACATGAGTTTTAACTGTTTTATCAATACAGCGCACTTAGTTTAATTAATTAAAGTGGATCATGCACTTCAATTCGCCAAACGCATCCAACACTTTTGGCAAAATGCAATATACCTACACGAATATTGAATTTTCAATTTACTAATTTAAATTCTATTAATCTCGCGTGATTAAATCATAACAATCGAGGAAAACACAAAAATATCTAGAAATGTTGTTGGGAAAAAATTCCATCAAGTTTAGACCCTTTGATATTCAATTCAATTGATTGGTGTTGGTGATGACACGGAATACAAAATCAAAGTGTACGTACGCACTTGCCTAAACCAACGACAATACATACAAAGTCAACAAAGCAAACCCAGTCAACGGTAAAACATCGTATTGTGCAATTTCAGTTTTCGTTGTTCAATGTTTGATGGAATCGAGAAAATCAATTTTGCGGTATTTGCTCTGACTTTTGCACTTTGTGTATGAATTTTAAGGTGAACGTGAACATATACAATCCGTAAATTGCTAGTGCATATACAAACGCCAAATTCTGAAAAGCGCCAATCTCTGTATGTCAATCCAAAACGTAAAACAAGAATTGAGCACCGGCGAAGACGTTACGCGTATATCGTATTTAAATTTAGCGCGTGAGAATTGAAAATCGGAATTGGAAAAATCGTTGGTAACGTGCCTTGACCTTGATCAGACGTGAGATGTGTATATTTATACACGTACGTTTTCCAAAATACCCAAATTGCAAATTAACGAAACTGTAAACAAACATAGAGTGCTTAACAAGAAGCAATATATTCATTTTATATGTGTATAACTGTCGCTTTTTTGAATTGCAGACAGCAACTTTGTATTGGGAAACGCACAAGTGTCGACCATTTATCCGATCGTCTATTGTTCTGATGGCTTCTGTGAACTTACCGGGTATACGCGGGCGCAAATCATGCAGAAGGGCTGCGCCTGCAAGTTCCTTCACGGTCCGGAAACAACTGACGAGCACAAAGGGCAAATCGACAAGGCCCTCGAGTCCAAGAACGAGCTGAAACTAGAAGTGATTTTTTACAAAAAAGATGGTGAGTTATTCAGCGCATTGTGAACGTACAAAGGAGACTTGACCACTGGCACAATGGCACAATGACACAATCGTATTGGGACGGCGCAAAAACAAAAAGCAATACTGTTAGCTGACCAAACATCGTCAGCCATCTTTCTGTGGAGTTTTTTAGGTTGCATAAGTAATATTTTAGAGTGCAAATAGCGACCTCCAATAATATTAAAGCAAAACATTTGCTTTAGCGGGTATAAAATAGAACAAAAGCATAAACCAAACAAAATGCTCAAGAGTTTCACGGAAAAGCTTTTTAAGCTTTTGCATTATTTGTGGTAACGGCTTAATGGCTTAAAATATTTTGTATTGTTCCAAAACAACATACAACTAGTTCCCGATCAACATACAAGCTCAATTGCACTATGTTGAGGTTATATATCAGCTTAGTACGCAACGCACGTATGTAAGTGCTGATAAACGATCGATTGATGGGTTTTGAGTACGTTTTGAGTGGAAGGTCTACGAGCCTAGCCTGCAATTCGACCGGAACCTATAGAAAAATATTTCCGGCTACTGGCAACGAATTGATGCTTTTAGGCACTCGAATGAAAAGATGCTAGTCCCGGTCCCGTCGACCGGTTGAAATAAGATGTTCTGCCGTGTGGACATATCAGAGACTTGCGTTTCCATTTAGCGCGGAGCTTCGCTCGGATCTGGAAATATATTGGATCGGGTCGAATCAACCAATCCAACCAAGCAAACCGGTCGGGATCTTATCTCGCCGCGTTTTGAGTCGACGTGGTGCGGAAAGATGAATCCATATGATCGGGGTTTTTAAAATGATTTTAAAGCAATTTTGAAACATTACAGAAGAAATTTCAATTGTGTAACTTTGTGAAATTTAATTGCTTCCTTCACAGGAACGCCGTTTTGGTGCCTGTTGGATATTGTCCCCATCAAAAACGAAAAGCGTGAGGTGGTGTTATTTCTCGCATCGCATAAGGACATTACCAATACTAAGATGGCGTCGATGTCCGACAGTGAACTCTATGACAGCGGTGAGTCGTAAAAACATAAGCCCGCATAAAATGTGTTGTGCGTGCGTCTTGTGACCTTTTTCGTTGTCGCTGTCGCTGTACATAAATCACCTACTGTTTCTTGTGTTGTTAAATCCGCGTGTCTGTGTCCACAAAATATGGCAGAACTGTTATTTTGTGTGTGGCAGATATGGAAACATAATTGAGTTGCACTGATTGTTTACTGGTTGCTTGGAATAAATGTTTTTACAGGATTATTCAGTCCAAGAAGATTACACATTATTTTTTCACACTCTTGTTGAAATTTAGCTCTTTTGGTTAATTTACTACAGTTGGGTGAAAAAATCAACTGCTTCATAATTCACAATTATGAAAATATTGTATATTTACTGTGCGATATACTATCCAGTAGTAAAAACTAAGATCAATGTTTATATTCGTTGTAGAAAGTTTTTTTTAGTTCGGTATTTATACTTGTACTAGCTTAAGTATGTGTTTCACTAACTGAACGAGTTTAATCTGTATTTTGGCTTTCGTTGTATGGAGTATACCTACCTATATATGTGCCCCCCGTGGTTTGTTAGGCAATTGTTGACTCTTGTATATAGACGGGTAAGTCTTTCCAAGACATAAGACAGCAAAATATCCGCCCAAAAACAGTATCAAATACTTTCGGAGATTGTTTCCAGAATCACCTTTGCGGATATATTGCGGTCTTAGTAATTGTTTTAAGTGCATTTGAACACAAAAGAAACTATTTCTAAGTGTGGCGAGAGCGCTGTAGTGAGACTGTGTTGTTATGCAGCGGCGGTACTCGGGGCTCGGTTCCGAAGTGCTGACTCTTGCCTCCTTGCAGACGCCAACGGCAATGTTGACCCTGAAGCACCGCCGGCGAATTACGGCCGACGACGGAGTCGCGCCGTTCTATACCAGCTCTCCGGTCATTATAAACAGGACAAGATTAAAACCAAACTCAAATTGAATAATGTGAGTTTACTCACAGGTACAAAAGTGAAATTATGCTTAAATAATCATAATTATCTGTGTTAGCAGAATTTGCTCAGTTCCACACCAGCTCCTTTACCAGAATACAAAACGGCAGCAATTAAGAAGAGTCGCTTAATCATTTCGCACTACGGTATGTTCAAGAGTTGTTGGGATTGGCTGATTCTGATCGCAACGTTCTACGTCGCCGTTGTGGTGCCCTACAACGCCAGCTTTGGTGGCGAGAGATCCTACGTTCCGATCGACGTCGCTGTGGAGACGCTTTTCTTCATGGGTGAGTAAACGAGCAAATATTTACTATTTCACGTTCACACACCGGATAACCCCGCGTATTTCCAACCATTATTTACAAATACCCATTGCACACGTCACCGGAACCTGACCGGATACTCTCAGTAAATATGTCAAACACCAAACTAGGGCGGAAGTTGTGATACCTGTATATATTTATGTTGGAGGTTACAACATAACCTTAGTTATAAACTTTCAAAAATAATGTTAAGTGGAACTCTCTAGAGGTGATTTGTTTAATGGAGACTATTTGATTGGCGCCTTGTGTTTCACTTTTGCGATGGCGTAATTCAACACGAGTTTGAGCTTTTGATGTCGTATACTCGTATACAGATTGCCTTTGCAGAGGGCAGGCACGTGTTTCTGTTTTCGCTCAACGTCGTCTTGATTGTCAATCATTTGGGGAAATATCGGTTGCTGGAGTTTCGATGTACCTGCTGTGAATGAATAATATGCCTGCGGGTTTTCCCTACTGTGGTACAAGTATCGTGCTTTTTTATAAATCAAAAGAACAAAAAACCTCAGCAAAAGAGAAGAAGAGAAGAGAGAGAAGAGAAATGTACTTATAAGTAATAATAATGAGCTGAAAGCTTGTTTTTCATATCTTATAGAATAATTACTGTTGCCTCAAATAATCATCGTTGATTGAAATTGGGTTGTAAACGCTTTGCGGAATAAACAAATTAATTGGTTGCGTTATTTTTGATAGCTACCATCTAGTTAATTGGTGATTAAACGTAGATAATATGATGCTTACAATTGCAATCCGATAAATGCTCTAATTGTTTCAGATATCATTCTCAACTTCCGCACAACATACGTGAATCGCAAGGGTGAGGTGGTTTCACATTGGAAAACGATATCGTTAAACTATCTCCGCACGTGGTTTATTGTCGATGTGCTAGCTGCGCTGCCGTTTGATTTCCTGTATCCGATTTATGGAGGACTGGTACGTTTTAAAACGTTGTTATTTTAACTTTTAAAAAGATTAAAACCCATTTTGTAAATATAAATATTGTATTGATCCGCAGACGCAGAACAACAACCACATCCACTTAATTAAATTAACACGATTATTACGCTTAGCTAGGTTATTACAAAAGATGGATAGATATTTTCAGTACAGCGCAATGATTTTAACTCTATTGATGTTGTTCTTCACATTGGTGGCGCACTGGTTGGCGTGCATTTGGTACGTGATTGCGGACAACGAGAAAAATAAACATGATAAACGTTGGGATTTAGGTAAGCATTATTGCAATTCAATTAATCAAAATAGGAATAAATCATAGACCATGTTTGAACATTTGGATTTTACAAATTGACAGTTAATAATAATCCATGCACGCTTATGTAAATTAAATTGTCTATCGTGTTCTCTTTCATGTGTTTCCAGGTTGGATTCATAATTTAGCAGAGAAATTAGAAATACCAATAAGCAATATTTCGAATACGGACGCGTATGTTACCGCTTTATATTTTACATGTTCGAGTCTGACGAGCGTTGGTTTTGGCAACGTAAGCGCCAATACAACCAGCGAGAAGGTTTTCAGCATTTGTATAATGCTAATTGGAGGTAAATAACACGACTTATACTAAAATATCAAGCTATTTTGACAGAAGATTCATTGTGTATAAATTGCTACTATAAAAATTCAATACGCAATAAATCAAATTTGTTGTGATGCGGAAACCTTACATATGAACTCGGCGATTGTGTTTTCAGCTCTAATGCACGCGGTGGTCTTCGGCAATGTGACAGCAATCATCCAGAGGATGTACTCGAGACGCTCGCTCTACCATACAAAGTGGAGAGATCTGAAGGACTTTCTAACTTTGCATCAGATACCGAAAGAGCTGAAACACCGCATGCAGGATTACTTTCAGACTATGTGGTCCTTGAATCACGGCATAGACATTCACGAGGTAAGGTCTCGACCCGCTTTAGTCCACCTTAAGTCTCTCTTTCTGAACGCCCTAATAAAGCAGTCACTTCTTCCAGTGAATAGGCCAGTCACAAACTGCAAATAAGCAATATTTGTTGTACTTGATGTTTTTACATGTACTCAACAATCTCTAACAATGTGCTACATTTGTATTGTGAGCATGCCACATTTTCCCGCTCTAATCCATCCTTTATGTACCTACCCTTTCTCGTAGATGTTGTTGAATGTTTGCAACGCAAGTGCATTTGATACGCAGATGCTTGCCGCCCATTATCTCCGTTGTTGAAAGGCGTATACGTTGAGAGTGTCAAACGCTTGCTTGTGTTCTGAGCATTCAGTGTTGTTATTGTAGACATTAAAAGAGTTTCCCGAGGAGTTACGCGGCGACGTCTCCATGCACCTACACCGTGAGATTCTCAACCTGCCAATCTTCGAAGCAGCGTCGCAAGGATGTCTCAAGCTACTCTCGCTGCACATCCGAGCGAATTTCTGTGCCCCAGGGGAATATCTCATACATCGTGGTGATGCACTCTCCTCCATCTATTACATCTGCAACGGTTCCATGGAAGTTGTCCAGAATGATATGGTGGTTGCAATTCTGGGTAAGCGTATCACTTGTGTTCATTTCTCATACTGTGGTTAACACTTCATGACAGTCGCTTAACGCATGTTTATAGTGTACATAAAACTATTGCGGTCATGTTTTGGGAAATAGGAAAAGGCGATTTAGTCGGGAGCGACATCAACTTTCATCTGCAGTACACGTCTAATGGGCCATCGAGCGGTGGAGGCACAGGTGGCAACAATGACGTTATCATCAAGTCGTCGAGTGAAGTGCGCGCGTTAACGTACTGCGACCTAAAGTGTATTCACATTCATGGTCTTCTCGACGTGCTACGTTTATATCCGGAATTTCAACAGCAGTTTGCTAACGACATTCAGCACGACTTGACCTTTAACGTACGCGAGGGATACGAAGCTGAGGTAAAACAAATGTACACTGTGGTGTTTGTTTTGGCAAACCAAATAATAAATAATTCCTTTAACCTGGAACCCAATAATCATCCTCTAGTTTTCAAACTACCTTTCTATTCAAATGTGGAGAATAAAATAAAACTAAATGTTTTCAAATTATAGCAGGAATCAGATGCAAATGGTATGCCATCTTTAACGCTGCCCTCGATAAGTGAAGATGATGAAAACGCGCAGGAAGGTGAAACGACGCCGCTTTCTCCAAACAGATCACCCATGCATGCCATCACCAACAGTCCTCGGCACGCTAAATTCAATTTGAAGTAAGTGAATTAGTTGAGAGTTGAGATTTATTCTTTCCGTGTTGTTGTTGTCGTATATTAAAATTTAATTGCATGCTTAGGCTGCAGGAGTTTCACGAAAATTCGGTTTGTGCTCGTCCCCGGTTGGGAGGCATAGCAACCACTAATTTGGCGCTTTTGCGTGAACGCGTTGATCGGCAGCGCAGCGTCACCCAGTTTAAACGTACCAGCTCCCTGGAGGAGATTAATAACGCCTCGGAAAGCCAACCAGCCGCTGATGTTGAAACCGCTCCTTTACCCAACAGCACTGATCGACTGGACTCACAAATTAGCAGTTTACATCATGACGTTGCGACGCTCAGTATCGATGTAAGTCCCTTGAGAGTATTAATTGCATATTCAATTATTTCTGATTCCGTTAGGTGCGAAATGCTATCCAAGCACTACAAGAAATGGCAGCGCCTGGAGTGTCACAATCTCAGTATTCAGTTCATTCAATCCCCAACATTCCGCGCGTTGGTTATAATACGGGCACGCTAGCGCGGAGTACATCCCAGCCGCCGGAAGTGTTTTATTGGGAGGATCCTAATTCCGGCACACATCATTCGCACATGCCTTGTCTGATACCCACTTGCCATCAGGAAACACAAACCGACCAGGCTGCCGTGGACGCTATGCAGGAGTACGTCCTGAAGAACTCACGTAAAGTTCTACTTATGCTCGGTTTAGATCCAGATCGCGTGGCGGAAATCTTATATTTGAAATCGTCCAATATGCGTAAAAGCTACAGCATTCCGGATTCTAGTAGGCGAATCAATCTATGCACAACACAGAATAGCATCACTCACAGAAATGTCAAGCGAGATATTACGACAGGAACGGATGTTATCCGGAGGGACATACAAAGGCCGTTCGTTGTGGATGCTTACAAAGGGGATGTGCAGGTGGATGTGGATTTGCTCAATTCGCGGAATGCTGTATATAAAACTAACGGCAGCGGAGGGTAAAGCTCTGTACTGTTACGTTTTTTGTGATATAAATAGATTTCACAACGTAAATTGAACGACATGGTGGTGAAGTGCTTTTCTCAAAACATGGGTTCAACTTCAGTGAAAATTAGTGATTGTCATAACTCTTATTAGGTATAACAAATGGTGCTGACCGGTAGCAAATCCAGTCATTGGTTGTTATTCATTTCGACAAAATAGACAACATAGAATTCTAAATTTTGTCCTTGACTATCAAAATGTATGCCATTCTAACTGTCAATTCAATTATGTAATGTCTTGATGGTCGGGGATGAATATTTGTTTTTATTTTTCAAAATATGCATATATTAGCATAAGAAGAGTAGAAGCACATGACGAATATAACATATCTGCGTTTTATTTCTTTGAACTAAAGCATTTCATGGCGATTTGTGATTATCGATTTAACAACACTTCAAACTTTTCATGTATTTGCCAAATTATCAACTAATAGACTCCTACATATCTCAGGATATATGCATTTTAGGGAAAAACTTATGATTTGAAAAATTGTATTATTTTGCTTTTAAATGTGACATTGGTTTAAACTTTGTATGTGAAAAATTACTATAATTTATTTGCCATGATAAAATAATATTTGGCGGTTATTTGTGAGTCAATAATAACTAATAAGTCGCTACTGGACCACTTCAACTTAGAACTCCTAGATAATAGAATAATTGGACAACGTCATTCAGTCAATCAATGTAAAATTATGCGCCAACTGCGCGAAAAATATATGTAGGTATTGCAAGCGTTGACTGGGAAACTTTAGTCAACGTTTCTAACTTCGATCATTATTTTCGCCTTCTAAGTTTGTAAGATGTCATTACGCTAATATTATTCCAACGAATGATTATGTGTTTATATGCATTTCATTTACTGTGATTTGTTGTGGAAGAAGTTTGCACGCACAATTACCGACTTTAAAAATTCTAAAAATCATCTTTCAGAACAACTTTTTTCCTAAAATGTATAGTTCTATCTTAGTGCGACAAATATTTTCAAAACATGTTCTATGCCTATATTTAGTATATAAATAAAAAAAAAAATAATTTCTAAATACAACTACAATCCATTTCCACACATCAGAGCTACGACTACGAGTGGATTTCTGGACGCGTCAGACAATAATGCGCTCGTTGGGTGCTACCCTTTTATACTTGCCACGCTCCCCAACACTGGTCCCCACTTCTTCTCACGGGTCGACCGCAGTTATAAAAGGGCGACCATCGGTAACAGAGGTTGTCAGTCGTGCCTGAGTTTCGAAGCAATTCAGTCGCAGGTGTAGAGTTTTCTCTCTTCTCTCCACGTGTGTTTTATTTGGTTTAAGCCGTACGTAGAGAATGTGCACACTCTAACTTCAACCATACGTTGCGCAAGTCGGAGTAAAAAAGACATTATTTTTCAATTACCCTTTAGGAAAATATCGCCCTGCAAACCCGAAATCTCTAGGTAAAGAAGGTCACAAGCAGCGACAGGTAAGTTTCAATCCTGCAGAAACGCAGAATCATCGCTTATTCGGTTGATATTGCAACATTTCTTATAAAATAAAACCATGAGCCATATGAACTTTGAAGAACATCAAAGAATCCCAGCACAGTAAAAGATGCTTTCTTCAAGTTTTTAGCCGTTACCATTTCTACACCGGTATCAAATAGCAAACCTAACTCTTTTGAGCATCGCGACGGTACAATTCACTATCTTTATTGAACACGCTAAGAGTTAAAATTCTTATAACTACTTACAACTAACAATTTCTGCTCGGACTGCCTCAAACTCGTTCAAACGCTCTCTCTCACGTTCGAAAAAACACGTCTGCCATGCACACACACACGAAGTATAGATATAAGGAGTCCGAACGTATTGTTAAATTAATGGTCACCATCTAGGGGACCAAACATTCGCCAATAGAGCGCGCCACTATGCGTTAGTCTACTCGTTTAAATACTTACATTACTATGGACACCGCCGGTCACTAGTCTTTGGGCCATTAAAACATCCTGGATTAGCACAACACCTTCCCATTTTTTAACACTACTAATTTTCAATAAATAAATTAGTTCAAAAAAATAATACTATCACGTGTTAGCGAAATGCGTAACGTAGGCAACCAACAACACAACATACATTACATTAATTTTCCCGCGCAACACCGGCGCACTGCGTGCGCCCGGTGCAGTAGCTAAGTACAAGCAGAGCGCAGCAGACGCAGATTAAGAGACGCCTTATTCCAAGGCTGGCCAATGGATTTTCCTGGAGGGCAAAATCTTTTAGATTGCGGCGGCACCGGGCCACAGACTATGGCCATTCATATATAAAATATTATACACATACAGAAGTTTCAACTTTGGGTTTTGCGGCGGGCAAATTCAAATGTCCTGGCGGGCCACTTCGTGGCCCGCGGGCCTGGGATTGGCCAGCCATGCCTTATTCAATAAACGCGATTCAACGTTCTTTTACAATTACAAGTGCTCATTGTTTCATGCTTATCTTTTATCACCTGCCCTCACAAGTGCCACACCTAACACACGTTCCAATTCAAATTAATGTATACATACATATAAAACAGGTAAAAGTTAACAATATGGATAACGCATTCGACAAAGTTAAAAAATATGTATTTTTAAATTTAATTGAATTCAATTAAACATTCACAAACCAGCACGTGTTCACGTGTAATAAGTAATAATAATCACGAAGTATCTAAACACAGGAACATCATGTAAAGAAATTGTCTCAATGTTGCTATGAACACGAACCAATGTACATCGGTTCACTCGCAAACCATGCCAGCCAGTGGCAGAAAAGAGAACTATTAGCTTTGTATATAATTGTGAACCATGACTACGACGAAAAAGCCTATACCGCTCGGACTCGTTATATCTATACTTCGTGCACACACACTACAGCTCAACAATGCGCTGAAAATGGTGTCTTCCGCTTCAGAATCAAGCACGCGCACACTAATCTTTACCACGCAGCGCCCTCTTCGCTGCAGCTGAAACACTGCGCAACTGTAAACAATTTTTAAAAAATCACATGTTCTCTGCACTCACGATTTGTCTACTTAGGTACAATAAAACAATTCTAGGAATGACTTTGATTTTGTTCGTATATTAATTAGTACTATGTCTGTTTTTGGTTTTTTCACTTATCAATTTAGCGTATTGTTCCACAAGGAAAGCAGTAGCCAAAACAGAACTCTTCCAATGTATACACAGTCAACTTAACTAGATCGTGATAAATTATAACTTAACTACAAATTACTATGCAACTACGCTCTTAATACATTTATATTTGCAATGGGTTAGATTAGATTACCAATTAACGTACCGATGGCGCATAATGAATTAAACAACAATTATAACATGTATAATAATTGCAATTCACCTACGTAAAAGTAAACGATGGCATAAAATTATGATTGGTGGCAGTAAACTTGAAAAGTTTGACTCACAACTAAACAAACAATACACAAAATGATAAATATGCTTCATACACACGATAAGTGTGCAAAAACAATAGTTTACCAGATTTAAGTCAACTAACATCTCATATGTGGCAAGTTGACTTAAACAATATCTACATAAAGAAATGTTCGGTTCACATAACTCGTATTCTCGTTGAAATGATTAGAAAACTGTACTTTATACAAAATATTTCCGCAAAAACACGATTCCCACCGAATATCTAGTCTTTACTCGAAAAAGAAAATTGATATCGCTAATAGACGATAGAAAATCAGTAGTAGTAAATCCATGCGAAGTAAAATCGTAAAATATACACAGATATGGGGCACTAGAGGGTATTTTATCGAAGTTTGCTGTTTAGCATCCGTACAAAAAAGAAACCGAATGCGCTTGCAGCTGCTATACCCAGTCCTGCCTTCCACCAAGTCGCTGCATCAGTAGGCATGATTCCAAATTCTCGCAGATTCCTAAACAGAGACAAAACATAAAAAAGTGATACTTAAATATAAATATAGTGCAAAAAGTGCGTTAATTTGTTAGAAAAATCGTAAAATAAATGTTAATGCGGTGCATGAATATAGTTAGTGAAAAGAATTAAAAACATAACATTGTGTAACACAAAAAAAATATTCTTTACAATTTGTTAGTACCAAAGTAATTTTAATTGTCTCAAATAAAATACTATTTTGCATGCTCACGAACCAATAAAACTCAGAAAAACTAACTAAATTCAATCCACACTTCACTTAACACACTTTTATCAACTTTGAGCTGGATAAAAATATATTAAGTAATCTAATTTGATTGTTATTAACCTGTAGACACGATTAAACCACTCTGTCGGCTGTTGTCTGAGCAGCAACATGTTTACCATCCGTCGCAGAGGACTGCAAAGAGGAACAACTTTAACAACACACGCACGTACTTCCATAAAGTCAAAGCAATATTACAGATTATAACTGGTCGGACATTCCTGTGATTCAAGTGCGACATTTACACATTGCGACATTATTTACGAGTGAATAAGTTGAGAATATATGCGATAAGTTAAGATTCAAGATGGCGACTGGATGACCGGCAAGATGGCGGACTATCGTGTTCGCTAAAGAAGCGCGGTGGAAAACAAACCTTGTATCATAAAGTAATCTCGTCCATGCCGGCCGATGACGACTGAATAAATAATCATTTAATATCAAAACATTTCAATAGTATGGGTATAGTTTAGCTTGTGTTTGCATTAAAAAATAAAATCGCGATAATTTAAATGGTGGTACTTACGGAAAAGCAGCCATTGTTGCAAGTTTGACGAAGACTTGTTTGCGATGATGTGATGGTCCTCGCATACTGAATGTTCCAGGCGGAAGAATTTTGTATTTTTGACAAAACGTTACCGGTTGCAGAAGATATTCTTGACGGACTTCTTCAACATCGCCTTTATTCGCCACGATTAGAACTGGGATTTTACTTTCGGCAAAATATTTCTGTAAAAATGAATATTATTAATAATAATAAAAAAAAGATATATGTATTTATGCTAACTTACAATGTATATTCGTGCTATGTACTCAAAACTCTTCGGATTACTCCTGTCATACATAAGACAGGCGACATCGCATTGCACCTCGGCTGGAAGCAACGGATCTGACACATTCCTCACGTTAATATCTCTCATAATCATAATTTTCTCCTGACCATATACGGGAACTACGTTCACAGTGCACGGTGGTGTTTTACCGCTTAGTTTTATACTCTTATGCTTTCCCGATGTAATAAAACTACGACAGAATGTCGATTTGCCACAACCAGATGGACCAATCACATGACATTGATACACATTACGCGTTGATTGTTTCTTGGCAAGATCTAATTTCTTTTCTCTTGTGACTATAAATATCATAAACATCATTATCATAGTTTTGTTCAAATTTTAAAACTAATTACCTTGAACTGCGGAAATTTGTGAATCATTTTCATAGATATTATATCCTAAGTAAGCCAGATGTTCAAATGTTCTGGGTAACTCCATCAGAGTCATCAGCGCCCATTGGCACATATATCCTTGATAAGTAATCCAACCCTTCTCATTGGTCGGCACAACTCCAGTTACGTCTGGTCCAAAGGGTGGAGTGGTACATGTTGAGAACAATTCATCAAACTCGCTCGGTGACAGCGCACGATCCCGGTCTTTGTCGTGACGTTCGAAGATATGTGTGAGAAACTGTTGTCCGCGATGAGATAACTCTGCTGTACATCCACTTGGAACTTTTAACCTGTTAAAATAAGAAATAATCACATTTCTTCACAATTAAATTGTGATCGAATAAATTGTACGTACGTTGGGAATAAATAGTCTTTATTCATTTGTAGACTATCGTTATATCCGAATTTCCGCAATACTGTCCACGTTGTCTCATTACGCCCCCGCTGAATAAACAGTGAGTGCAAATATAGGAAGCCCTTGAGATTGACGCAGTTGTGCGTCACGCCATCTTCCATATTCTTCCGCAGGACGCCTTTTACGTCGTCCAGTACTTGTGGTTGTAATGGGGTGTTAAAGCACCGGCACTGGAAGTTGTTCAGTTCCATGTCATTGAGAAGGCCGTCGCAGTCAATATCACATATTTTGAAGATCCGAATGAGTGCTTTCTTGCATGCATCTGTTAACTAATGTAAAGCAAAATATAAAATTGCATTTATATGCAGTTATGTTACTAAACTTACATCTGTGTTTTCCACTGAGTAAATTGGACTGGTCGGGTGCAGAACAGCTTTCTGAGCATAGTAAAACATCTCAGAAATGTTTTTCAATGTTCGAGCAGAGCATTCAATACATGTTTCCACTTCAGGAAATGCATCCATGATGGAATACACACCCTCAATAGTCGAATATTCAACCAAATCAATTTTGTTCCCCACAAGAACCACCGGTATTTGTTGATCAGCGCAGACTTCACGAATGCGCGGCAACCAGAAACTGGATATCCGCTCAATTGTGTCGTCATCGTCAACGGCGTAAACTACACAAATCACACTGGCTCTTTTGATCTGATCATTGAGATCATCCTCACTTTGATCAGCTGATGAATAATCTACAATATTTGTGGGAACCTGTTCAGGTGTGACATCAGCTGGGATAGTAATTTCCTCTGCCTTGTGTGGCACTGTTTCCGGAAATTCTTCACTCACTAGTGATAGAATTAGAGAAGTCTTGCCCACGCCGTGATCTCCAACCAGCAGAATACGCACATTGCGCTTGGGCATAGCGCGAACAACCATTCTAACTAAAATTTATAGACATGTCTTAATTCTGAACAATACAAAATTATTAGATGTAAATTGTAACAATTACCTGATTGTTGAGTAGTGTTAAGATTCAAACTACATGCAAGCCTTCCTAATCTGATGGCGCGTTCACATTATTACCCATGTGAGCGCAAAAGATGAACAAAACCCGGGATTGTCACTCATTCTCAAAGTCTCAAAACTGTCTAAATCGTATCACGAGATTTGTCCACACCGGTAAATGAATTCACCGAATTAACACAGATAAATCACGTACACATTTCACAAGAGTTTAAAACAAGATTTATGTTATTTTGAATAGTTTTGATTGTTCATTTAAGAAGGAAACTTGCAGGACAACTGGAGAAAAACCATTAAAGGTTATGTAATGTTGACATCGCTTCGTTGGTGAGCGCATCGGGGCAGATGGGAGCGCAGCAGGAGAGAATTTTTTTCTTACGGGGCTAATGCCGCACGCCTGGAGTGTTTACGACGCTTTAATAACCGGAGCAGCTTTAAGATTCAGTTCAAAGAGACGCGCGTTATTTTCGTATTTAAAAATCAACTCTGCTGGAAATAGATTTTTGAAAATATGGATTTCTTTAATTCAATGTATGCAACATACAATACACCAATCCAAGAAACTGCTATTACTTTCAGAAGATTACAATATTCTTTAAATTATGCAAATTAGAAACAAATGCTATGGTTTATTACATTATAAAATTATTATTTTCTCATTAAATACAATATAACTAATAATAGTTACACTAATTTGCAATAATAATGAAAAATATAACTGGAATTATATTAGCAAAGAAATCAAGATATAAATAGTAACAACAAATTGATGTATCTGATAACCTCAACGACACCTGATTATTTGATAAAGTACAATTTAATGTAAATAACTATATTCTATCGCCATCTGGGGTCAAATGATTAAGCTATATTTTAAGTTCAAGATCCAACCTCAAGATGCCGATAAAATGAACTTCTAATCAAATTCACATGAAATTAATTAATTTCAACGTATTCTTATAATGCTTATTGATTTTAACAATATAGCAAAAAAATTCAAACAAAGAAATATTCATAACATTGAATAAAAACTTTGATATGTCAATTTATATCAGAAATATAATTATTCCGGATCTAATGTCCATAAAGAATTATGGCGGCACTTTGACTCCTTAAAATGGCTTCTGAAATACAAAAACTCAGAGACACAAGAAATTCCTTCAAAATGCGACTATAAAATATTATAACCATTATTGAGTATCATTTGATAGTCCAAGATTACTAATTCCATTCTATTCACAAACATTAAGACACAATAGCTTTAGTTAAAAGCGTTCATAATGCAGTATAGTAGATTTTGCTCGACCGTTAGTAAATCAATCTTGAAATGAAACATGTAACGCAGGTCGACATCCTGACGTTGAGCACTTAATCAAGTGAAAGAAAAAGTGAGTATTGCGTTAGGAGACGGCGAGTTTTACAAAACTGACCTAAATTTGTCAGTGTGTCACTAAAAATTACCCCGCATTTTGACTAACGAGCTACTAATTATCCTAAACAACCAATTCTAAAAGAAATGAAATAAAATCTATTGTTTTATTTTTAAAAATATATAAACAAATAGAAAAACACTTCCTGCATCATTTGTGATTAAGATCTAGATCGATGTAATGGGTAACGTGCGAGTACACAATACCGCTTCGATTTTTATAGAAAACTAAAGCGGAATGTGAGAACCAAAATGTACACAGCCACCGCACTAATCTTGATCACTCTCTTAGCTCTCATGCCAAAAGCATCGATGCTGTGTGCTGGTCTAGTGCTAATATTTTATTAGTGAACCAAATATTTGACCAGAAAGTTTCTATCCGCTCGCCGCCGATCGACGGCATTCGGCGTTTGTTTTGCGCGCGCCGGCCACAATTTCGAACCGTGTGCGAATTTGTGACAAATAGAAAGGAAATGCACGGAGCGCACACATGTCGACACACCATTGCGAACGAGTTATAAACTTATGAGCGTTTATAAAGCCTGCTAGGTCCACTAGTATACGATTACTGTATACAACGTGTTGCAATTAATCGCGCGACGGATTTATTAAAATTTATTAGAAAGTTGCCGCGCCAGCGATAAAGTTATCTCATAAAATTTAATTAGCCGAATGATCGAAATACATAAATTGCCAAACGCATAATAAGGGATATAACAAGCAAATAACAAGTTGAATTTTGCATATATACACTGTTTCTTTCACAAATTTTTAATTTTTGAATGGAAAACGACAACTTTTGTGAATGTAGTTGGTCTGAAGGCCACCAGAGTGCGTGACCTTGATCTCTGCAACCTTCCTTACCTTTTAACTTGTGATATTCTCTTTATTATTTGATTTTCATTGTTCATTGCAGTACATATTACTTTTCGTGTGGTAACTATGAGTATATCCTTTCATAAACAACATCAATCGAATGATCAATAATGCAATCGATTTACCGAGCGTTTGATTCTTGTCTTTTCCTTTTTTGTGCTTAGCGGTCGGCTATTGTTATAATATTCGCACAAAAGCGGTGATTTTCAGGTGTTTTACTCAATTTAATTCTAAATCACCAACACATTTTATATGCTGATCAAAAATAATAACTATACTGACCAATCATGCGTGAAGTAAACATAAAATGCGGAGGCGACGTCTCGCAAAGTCTTGGAAACCATTAGCTCAAAGGTATGCAACCCAACGAACAATAAATGATACACCAAAGTCATGTAAGTGCACAGTCATAAAGTGAATAATGCTCAATTATTCTTTGATTTATACAGATTATAGCTATTAGCAACGGCGAGAAATCGCGGCTGAAATGTGTCGATCAATTAGATATAAACGGTGGCTAGGTTAGAATCGTTAGCAAGTGGGTGGCCATTTTACGTATGCACTTAGCCACTCGAAACACTTTTATGTTTCCAGTCATTCAGACATTCGAAAAAATGTGAATGTTGAGGCATGTCGAAGCGGTGGAAACAAAGAGAAACGGATGTTGATCATTCAAGCGGCCATAATCAACTTGTAGCTTGAGGGTGTTATAAGAATTTCACTTCTAATGATCAGTTGAACCACTTCAAGGTCGTCATAAAAATTAAACCAACACATAGCATTCACGTTTGGTGCGTTTACGACTGTAAAATGAGTTTGTTAATGTTATAAACATATAATATAAAATTAATATTTAGTTTGCTTAAAGTTTTCTATAAAAAAAGAACAAATTACCATCAAAACTCATGAAATTCTATGCAAATTTAATTTGTATCGCTTGTGTAACATACTACAATATTAGGTAAATTATTCAGTGTAGTTTTTGTGAGTAATGCAAGTTCTTCGTAAAGTGTGATGGTAAAATACCACAAAGTCTTCTAAATCGAGCAAAATGTTTTTGTTTGGATTTTACACGTTGTATTTTGCTCAAATAAAATTCTTGTTGTTTTTTGATGTAGCTGGGATTGTTTGTGTTTTGTTTGTCATTGCTTCATTAAGTAAAGTCTAAACGTTTCTTAGTTTAACAGATATTATGCATCGGTATTACAAATTTCAACATATCTCCCACATTTTGCTATAGGCTTTGTTCTTCCAATCATCCAGTCAATTGTCGCAACATAAGCAAACAAGAACTACAAGCATCATACTAATATTATAAATGCGTATGTCCTGAAGTTTATCGTGCTTTCACGCAAAAACTACTTAACAGATCATCATGAAAATTTGTACACATATTCTTAGTGATCCCCGATAGGTTATAGGCTACTTTTTATTTAATAAAAATAATTATTTTTTTAAATAAAATAAAGAAATTGTTTAGTCACTAATACCTCTGCATCTGGTTATTTGACTACTTTAACGCCATCTAGCATTCTAGCAATGAAGCTCACACTGAAGTACTATAGTTCCATCACACTGTATTACCGACAGCTACGTCAACATCAAATCCGTACACATATTCTTAGTGGTCCCCGATGGTCCCCGAATGGTTATAGGCTACTTTTTTATTTAATAAAAAAATTATTTTTTTAAATAAAATAAAGAAATCGTTTAGCCAATAATACCTCTGCATCTGGCTAATTGACTACTTTAACGCCATCTAGCATTACATCTAAAATTTAAAACTTTATTGCATGTAGTAACTTTTTCACATAGATAAAACTAGCCAAGCAGTGAAATATATAATATACATTTTTTCTATCAATCCGTTTCAACTATTTATAATGATTTCTAATATTTATTTGATGGATTCAACGCGAGCGAAGCCGCGGGTTAAAGCTAGTATCAAATAAAATCGTGGTTCAGTTATTTTATTAAGTGATTTGAAATGCAAAACTAAATTGTGAATAAAATTTAGGCAATTTTTTTGCATATCAAGCTAACCTCACATATTTCTGTTATGTGTGTTGCCTACAGATGTAAATAACAGGTTTATCTAAATATTTTAAGCCTTAGGGTTTCTATACAAATGTAGCATACATTAAACAGTTAATAATTTAAATAATTTACTATGACAGTATAGAAGAATCAATCATTCTATGATTTTTGCCTGTTTCACGATGCAATCGCGATTTCTCAAACGTTTAGAATTAGACTACATTATTTTTGGTGGCGCAACTTGTTAACTCGAGCGAACACCTAAAAAAGTGTTTAACCGGCTGCAGAACGTAATTGCATAAAAACGTCTAGCTAATTTTTTCTACAAAACGTAGTTTGTCATTCGTAATTTTAATATTTTGTAGTTTTGTTCATTTGTACGTAGGCTGTTTCATTCAATTTGAAATGGAATTGAAATGAAACAAAAGAAAAGCAAGATTTAAACGGTGCGCCGTGCGAATTTCATTTTTTTCCTCAAGATTTGTAACATTTCTAACGGCATTGCGTCACCGTCATAATACATGTAGGTAATGCAACGTTTGTCATTGATTCTCTCACGATGATAAACGATTTGGTTGTGATTTTTACGTCCTGAAAAGTCAAAACTTGAAAATCTTGAATTTTACATTCCATCTATCGTGATACGTGATATTAAAAGGTATTTCTTGTAATGTATAACTTTTATAAGTTAGTTGGTACTTAGCTATTGGTAATTGTAAGTTGAGATTGCGTGCCAACGGCGTGGACACTCTATTCGCGCATTATTTGCATAATTGCGCACTCGAAGTGTATTTATCGCGTGGTATGCAACAGTAGTATATTAGCGGGTACTCAGACCACTGTTTTATCACCCTAGAGCTGTAAAACATCATACCCGATCTGTATTTCAATAAATTAAAAAAAACACATTTAATTTTGTGTTAATTACTGGTCAATTACTTAATTACACTTTTATGTGTGTACACACTCACTAAACTAGTTCACATCAAATTCAATTAATCTATTAAACATCCACGGACACGTAACTGGTCCATTTTCATCTCTTCCACTCTGTTTCAACTTTATTTACTCTTTCTTTCGTTCGAAAGTGTGAAATTTCAATGCAACAACGCCAAAAACTCAAAGTGTAACTAACTTGAAGCTCAATCGGGCAATTCAGTCTCAATCAATAAATAAATGAATGCAAAAAATTACATTTCACGCACTGTCAAAGTGTTACTTAGAGTTTCAAGCGGACATTCTTTTCCGCCGCCCGGTTTTTTTTTTTATCATCGATTAGGCAACGCTCATATAATGCTTCTGATTAATATGCATAGATCATGAATGTGCGTCCGTTTTA